AAAATAATCCTGAGGAAGACCTTTGGCCCAAATGTTTAAATCAACGTTCTTTTTACATTACAAAAAATATCATCCTCTCATCAATTCTTAAATGACAGAGTGGATGCTTGAAGAGTATTTTAATTAAATGTAGTGTGAATTATTTATTTCCAAGTTCAGAGTTCTAATAAAGTGAGAGTGAATTGTTGCGAAGGAAACCAATGCTGAAACGTCTGTTAGAACCACTGCCAGTTTAAAAGTGAAGATGAATTATGCTGTTGCCATTAAATTTTATTAATTCATTTTCAGACTCAATCTTGAATAATGTGCAAAACCTTGATCCCATTGAAATAATTATCATAACATGCCTTTAAGATGTAATGGGATCTGGATCTTATCAGTCAGAAAATCATTTGTACAGTTTGACGAACAGCTCGTCTTCATACCTTGGTCTAGAACGTAATCAGTCCCCCGCGGGTTGGCGTAATCTAACAGAAAAAGAAAATCAATAGCAATCCCATAACAAAATATTTGCTCAGAGAAATACGCATTATAATGTAGCTTCAATATACATGCCTACCGAGGAATTGGAGTCTATTAGATGCATGGGATTCTAGGACCTACAGTAAGCAATTTGAAAAAACAACAATGCATGATTGATAGGAGAGCCTCAGCCGTGTTTACCTTCATGTTTATTTCCCTGCCAGGAAAATCAATACCTTAGCTTAGGCTACAGGAGACACAATACAAATTAAGAATAAAATTCGAGACACAATGCAAATTAAGAAAAAATTCGAATGAAAAAATAATTATTTATGTATGCGAGTCAATAGCCGACAGGGTGACGTCCCATTCTGTACTGTATTCGACTTTAAAAAAATCAATATTTTGTTAGCGATGAGAAAACCACATCATATCAATGGAACATTTTAATAAGTGAAAAGATAGTTTGTCAATATCGTTAACATTTCATTATGCAATTATAATGCAATCCAACTTTGGCCATTTTGCAATTACTCCTGGGAAATAGGCTGGATAACCACCGCATTCGTGCATGCTTCCTTTAACTTGCTTTACACCCCGTGTCATAAGCTTGATTTCAACTGCCCGGTGAGCTATTATAGTAAGATTAAAATCTGTCTGGGAAGAACAAAGAAAACGCGAGATATTGACTTGAGATGATCAATTGGTGACGTGGACGTACTTATATCACTGCTAAATCAACAAGTTTAACGTTTGAAGTCGCCGCCATAATCTGAGAAAAAGGAAGAGTTTTCGAGCCAGATCGAATCGGTTTGATCAGGATGAACTTTGCCCCTTACTATGTCTTGGAGACGTACCAAAAAGTACTATGATGTAGATCTGCATCTGATATAGAATAAGTTCACACGCCTTTGGAAAACCATCATTATTATGTTTTTAAAATCATTTATTTATTGTCAAAGCAATGGCAGATTTATTCCGTGCAATGAATAAAAAATTGCAATAAGTATGAGCTAATATAAAAAACGAAAACCCTTTCACGTTTACCCTCTTTAAAGGATAAGATGCAAACTTTAAGATCCTCTTAGACCCAAATCATAAAACCACCGTATTCCATAAGATTGGAAAGAGCATTATCAAAATGAATTAAAAGCATGTTCTTAAGAATACAGTTCTACAAAAATTATAATACGGAACTCATGATATTATGGTCAATTGCAACAAGACACCGCTTGCGTTACCTTCTAAATACAGGTGTGTGATTATTTCGGAGATGATTAAAGGGCTTACGGCTGAAGCAAATAAGACTGGTTAAATAACGCCTGGGTCTACCACAACGGGTCGCTCGCGGCAGAGAAAAATCAAGTATTTATTTTGTATTTTAGCTCAGTTCTTAGTGCTAATATTGGGGTACGGTATCAATACCGGCTAATAACTAACAATACAAATGTATGCTTTGCCACACGAGAACAGCCAGATCTCAATTTCTCTTATTGTCACAATGCAAACCAACATGTCATAACCCGAACCGTATTTGTTGTTCTTCCACCGGTTTGAGCTTCCAGTAAAAACACCGACGCATTACACGACCATGGTCGGTAAACCTCTTCGCTGAAAAAACAGCTATGCTGCAAACAGCATGTCTTTATGCCGGAAAGACCTCTATTAATCTCTGCTTTTCAGAACTTAATGACCCAATGGTTTCATGTTTGAGACGGTCAAAGTTATTAAAACCAAACGTTTGACAAATAAATCCTGCTTATGATAAGGTGCCTAGTTGTTGAAGTTATTCACCTGAACTGGTTGTGTTGGCCAATTGAGGGGTCATCTCGCGGTTAAATATAGCATATTCTGCCAAATAAATGACTATTTGCTTCATTATGTGCAGGTGTGACAATATTGGAAAAGGATAAAGACGCAAATTTAATGCAATTCTCTCTTCTGGCTTTATACACGCTATGATTATATGGGGTTCTAATACAGACCTCTTGGGTGTGGAATTGGACGTTTTGATACAGAACGGTCACGTTAATTATTCTCAAAAACTGTTTAAAAATTCAATTCAAGCATTGTTTATATGCCGTATCTACTTTTATCTTCCGATAACAAACATTAAAAATAAAATAAAATAAAAAATACCGCATTTGTCTACCCTTTAAAAGAAAAAGAAGCAAGCAACAGACAAGTTATATACATATTTTTATTTTTTATCTTTAACAAGTAGTGAAAGTCCACAAGGATTCGTGTACTCCACTGCAAAAATTATACCATAATATAGCAAAATACAAAGTTACTATTTTTTAATTTGAAATTATCATACAGAAATACTCTTTTAAGAATAGATAAATAAAATAGAGTTCACATAAATAAACTCACAACAATGTAAATTCAAGTCTCTCTGTACAATATTTATCACAGATGTCGCTAACAGTTGTTAAATTATAACACGGCAAATATTGGTTAAAATAGACCATATATTGAACTTTTATAATATTGCTCTTCACGCAACTATAAGGACGTGCCAATAAACAAAACGTGGACGGAATCTATCAAAGGTTCACATTACTATTGTAAAACAAATATATATTTTGGCAATGAAATAAAATTTAAAATCTTTTATGAAAAAATACCTGGACGGTTTTTTAAACAAATCTATTTTGTAATAAGTTATATTTGGACGGTTTTATGGAAAGAAAGAATCCCAGTTCATTACAATCACAGTTTGTTATTCTGAAACTGAGTATGTTTCTGCTTTTTTTTTATTAAGAAGGGCTATGACATGGTCTACTTTCCCACAAATGGCATTAGGGATATTCTCTGAAGCAGCTGAGAAATTCTTGAGAAAGAATCCTCCCTCCGTTTTCTGTTTTTCACTCCGAATTTGTGAAGGAATGTTCCATTTTTTACAGAAATGTAATCTGAATTCAGCAAAGTATGTCCCATTTTCTGTATTAATCTAATCTGTGTTGAGAGACAGTGCCACACCCTGTAGAACCCAGTGACTAATGTGCTCTGTGGTGAAGAGATCAGCTTCAAATACAAGACCCACTCCCATGGCATTACGGCGCTCTGACGTCACGTAGACAGGAGTACGCAGGGTGTTCTTGAAGGATAAAACAAACGTTAAATAAAAATTTAAACAGAAAAAATACCTCCTCACAAAATTATATTTATGGTGAAATATGCAATGGTATCATCATTGCCCAGCAAGTTTATTCATCAGTATTAGCATGGTGAACGGTCACAATTTTGTCACAGAAATTTAGCACCGTGCTACACTGCAGGAGGTCAAGTCATGATATTTTAGTATTTTATTTCACTGTTTGTACACACCACAGCAAAAGCTTTGATATAAGAAGATTACTCTAATGTGATATATAATCCTAATCCTATAAGAACATTTTTGTCATTCCACTTCAATAATTTTTTTAAAAAAGAAGGAAAAAATGTTTTGTGAAGGTACAAACAACTTTCACTTACAGAAAGACACGACGCCCTCCTGTAATTCACCAACCAAAACCTTTCTTTTTTATAAGGTCAAAATATAAAACAAACAAACTCCAGGTAAACTCACCTGTAACTTGAGTCTATGAGCCTCAATGGGGATTACTTTAAGTACTGGCAACTCCTGGATCAGTTCCTTTGGTTTCTGTCTGATAATACATCCTTTCTCTATGTCCCAGCCAGCACCCTCCAAGTACAGACCATGTACAAAACAACCTGCCAAAGACAAATAGGAGATTTTTGAAAAGATGAATTTCAAAATATTTGTTTATTCTACCAACTAGGAAAAATGTTGTAAGATGAGATAATTCTGCAAATATATGTTGTAATATTTAAAAAATAATTCCAAGAAAGATAAAGAAAAAAAGAAGTCTTAAATTTTGAATCCTTAAATATCTAAGAAAAACCACATGTCACATCATGCGTTGTGATGACAACCACCGTTGTCCTCCAGTGTCCCTCCTCACCTTGATGAGCTCTTTCTGTGACGTCTTCAGGGTTCTGGTAGCTGGTGACAGAGGTGTACAGGGTGGACTTATCCAGGGGCCAGCCATTCTTACGACAGGTGGCCTGCACCAGGGCTGTCAGGTAGGATTCTGGGATATGGAGCCCTGACAGCCACATCACATTAGGCTCATCTTCCTCTATCTGTGATGAAAAGATTTGCATTTTATATATTTCAATTCAATTTCTTTATAATTTCTTTTTTTTTTGTTCTGTATATATCTGCAGGAATGGTTGCAATGTACAACCATTAAATGGGTTACAAAACAGATGATGACATTAATTTGACTTACAAACATACCATATGACATGAGCTACAAAGAATTAGGAAACAGTCAACATCAGAGCAAAATTTGCAAAAAAGTTTGCTTTCTCAATTCGCAGAAAACAACAGATGTAATAAGCATATGTTGATTTATGATTTTTAATTAACGGGAAACTCCAGCTGTTAGACCTTTAGTAAAATGGTTAACTAACATTTGGGCAAAATGTTTCCACCAATTGTTGACAAATAGATCAATTAGATATTTTTCCAATTTACTTTCATGAGATGTCAGATAGCTTTGACAAGCTTTAATACCCAATGCATTTTCTCCCTAACAGATCTAGTAATCCCTATTGTAATCAGTTTCTGTAATCATCCTTTACTACAGCTGTTCAATTACCAGATATCTGTCATGGCCCATTTAATATATTTCAAGTATTTAAACTAGTACTACTGAATCCTGTCTTAACACCCACTTAGACCTTCAACCACTAAATCCACCTGTCTATATCACGTCTTAGGGCAATGTGTACAAAGGTGATCATACAATGATAACATGGGAATACAATGGTTTTCTACATGTGAAGTGGGCTTGCGTTGATGAATCAATAATAATTATGGATAATTGAGCTGCTTTGAAAAAAAGCATTATACTTCAAGAATAAATTAACTTGAGAATCTTTCAAATGATGTCAACCCCTATATTCCAAACAATATAATAACAGAATCAAAATTTAAAATTTTTATAACCACAAATAGAAATTGATTATTTTATAGGACACTTACCCATACTGTGTACTGAGAATTTCTCTTCTGGAAATGGGTCATCCAGTTGCCCAGTGACTTCAGAGTGGCTGGAGCCAGACGCCTCCAGATTCCAGGCAACTGACCATTAAACAGGGACTTGGCCACATCGTCCAGCTCATTGCTCATACCAACTTCACCTGCCAAGGCCTGGAAATATCAGTGCAATGATATAAAGTAACACAATATATTTAGTATTATTTTTTATTGTTTAGCATATAAAAGATTCCATATCTCTAGTAGGTCTGTTTGACAAAATAAAAGTCTACTAAATTGCAGAAACCGCAGTACTAAACTAGAACGCCAATTTCTGGTATTTCTTCAACAAAGAATTTGAAAGGAGAAAAAAGTGTGTGTATGTGCCTGCATTCCTCATGGGTCTAATTCCTACAATTTCTAATATGTTGCAATCAACCTACCCTCTTCAAAGTGGACAGGGAGACCCTCATTCTCTTAATGAGAATATTAAATCTCTCCAGCTCCTGTAGCAGTACCACAGTGGTGGGGGTGATCTCAATGCCCAGCTTCTTACGGATCTTATCCATGTCATACTCTGGTGGCAGCTTGGCCAGAACATCAGAGGCAATCTTGTCAATGAAGTCTTCACGACTGATTCCAGAGCCAGTCTCGCCTAGAAATATGTACATTAAATATCTCAAATGAAAAATTAAAGCAATCACTGCTGTATATTTCTAAATATAAAGAGAACACAGTGCCTGTCTGGGACTACTTTTTGCAACCTCATAAAATTCATTTATGTGTGTGACTAGTTCAGAAAAAACATTGATCACAGCATAATTTATTACTCTTATCAATCATTCAGATCACTATTTTGATTGTTTTCTCAATTATTTAATATACAGAGGATACCACACCTGTTTGGGGCTGTAACTCCACTAAGTTACTCCACATTTCCCTGGCAGCAGAGGTGTAGTAACCAATCTCAGCATTGGGGTGTAACCCAAACACTTCAGGGGTGTTGGTCAGTGGGAGAGTCTCAATGTAATCTGGAAATATTGTCAATTCAATATCATTTATAACTAACCTAAAGAAATGTTTTACCAATAAACAAGAAAAAACTTTAATTGACTGTTTTTCTGTAAAATGCTATGAAATGAAACTACCCACCCTAATCATCTTCTTAGATATATACAAAAATTGCACCAGCATGCATGTGCATTTCTCAAGAAAATACATGTAAACATGACTTTTGCACTTACAACATAATATCTTAACACAAACAAATAATAATTAAAATAACACTTCACCACTTCACCTCACTGACTTAGTACGGGTAAAAATACATATTTTATGTTATTCAATATTATAATAAGAGCCTCCGGAATTTGAACATGTACATAAAAGACCTGCAGTTGTAGAAGGTTTAGTACAAGCAACATATATGACATAACTAACATTTACCATTCAAATTACAGTTTGAGCATTTAGTCTTTAAATGGTTAGATGTTATTTATTATAAACCTTATCCCATTTCAGTAAAATATCAAAAATATATCAAAACATAGGGTACATATAATTTTTCTACCTATAATAAGGATTTTGAGTAGCTTACAAAACTTTAATATGTTTACATGAACAAATAGATATTTGCCATTTTCTTCTAACCTACAGCACCACCTTATTCCTATCTAAAGATTTATACAGTACAAGACGCTGTAATATACATAACCTAAGAATAACAGACTTTTTTAAAAAAAAATCATGTTTTAGTTTACTTATGATTCCCAAAGTCCCACTGTGAGTTGGTCAATTTGTTATCCACATTAATGAAATCAAAGATTGCATGCAGTTTATACCAGAACACCAGATGTACCTACCAGTATACCCCTTGTATAACTCTTTGAGTTAGGAATAAAAGAAAGAACAAGTTTAGCATTCACAATTATAAAAATATCATGAAAATAGAACTCTTATCTAATACAACACTGATGATATCTTCAAATGCATCAGACAATCAAATGCTAAAAAAGGTATATATCATTTACTATTATGTGACATAAATATTCTTGGTAAGTAGATATATGTATCTTTTCCAATTCAACATTCACATTTAACTGCAATAAAACACCATTTGAACACTCAGTCTAGCACAGTGAAACACCAATGCAGTAAAATAAATTGAAGCATAATAAACTATAAATCACATATACCGCTCTGTTCAAGTAAATTGGCAAATGAAACAAAATAGCAACAGAAAAAATTGGCATATTGGCAAATATGTAAAACAAGGTTTGCAACTGTGAACTTTAAGACATTAATCTTAGGGTATCTATTGTAAATAAAATGTACACATTAAAGTTTAGGGGAGGACGGTTGGGTGGTTTTAATGCTAAATTGATTTTTTAAATGAGAAAAATTGCACTGGCATAAAACAATCTCCTGCCGACAAGGTAAAATATGTAATGGACAAACACTGGTTTTCATCATTTATGCTATAAACTACAATGTGCAAGGGGAGGGGGCAGCCTTACCATAGGAGACTGGGTCAAAGTCAGAGCCTGTACTGCAAACTTCTGGGTCTGTGCCCAGGGAAAGATATAAATTCAATACAGTTAGATCCACAGTCAATCAATCAAACTATAGAGTATAAGCATAAGTCAATTGTATCAATACCAATAAATAGGAGAAATAATAAATAAAGGACAATGTCATGCACTCAGCCAACACCATGCACTGTTGAAAAAACCAAACTACCTTCAGCCCAAGCAATTGGGTTAAGTTTTGCTGAAGAAGGCTTTTTCTTGGGTCTAGTTTCTTATAGGAAAGAACAGAATCGGTCAATGCCCTTCTCTTACAATAGCATTTCCACAACATACCACTACATACTTTTACAATTACTGATGAGAACTGAACATGACGCAGCATGACATATGACATGACAAGAATGTATGACACATGACAAATAACTGTCAAACTAGCTGTCCCTGATGTATAACCATATACATGTTATCTAGTTGGTGTAGTTTGCTTTAAGATGCACACTGCAGTAACTCAAACCTCTTGCTTTTACTTGCAAGTATAAAATTAAATGTACACATCCTGAAATGATTTGATATCAATTAAACAAATCACACCTATGAATTGATTGTACCCAGACTTCCCTGTAAAAAAATGAACATTCACTGTAGGATAAAATACAAATGTACAATGTCTTTACCAAAACCAGCTCAGTGTGACATTTACCTGTGTAGACATCTCTCATGCCAGTTTCAGGGATTTTGTAGTCAACTTCTTCATTCACATAGAAATGGAATGGCTGGAAGGTGTCAAAGATGAAGTCTCCCATGTATTCATCCATATAGGTGTTCAGGATGCGTCGATCAAAGTTATCAATGGCACGGCCTCCGTACATGACCTATCGAGACAGATATCATAATTTGTTTATAATGGTATAACTAATTAAATAAATAATACCATCAATAAATAATAATAATAATAAGAAAAATAATAGCAACAACATTAATTTTTGAATTATCACTTAATACATGTTATTTTATTTTTTCTTTCCTGAATCACTTACAGTAAAACAAATAATCAGAGCAAAAATATGTAACACATCATAGGGCAAAAGCAAATAACTTCAAACATCCAATCAGACAATCTGACACTCTCTCATTTTATTAAAAAAAGGTTTCAGTAATGGGATAATGTTAGAATTTTTCAGTGATATTGAAAGGAATTGGTTAGAATTACCTCTCCAATCAAGTACTTCAAGCTGTTCCATGGTATCTTAGTCTCATTGTTCTCATGAGCCTTGGTCAGGTAGGTATTCAAGATCTGCATGCACACCTGGAAGTCTGACTCATTGAAATCATAAGGCACATTCCACCCTATCTTCCCATACTTCCTCCTCTCTTGGACCACAGCGTGGAAGAAGGCCAGCACAAAGACCAGGGAGGGGAAGGCAGGGTGGGGGNTTGTTCTCATGAGCCTTGGTCAGGTAGGTATTCAAGATCTGCATGCACACCTGGAAGTCTGACTCATTGAAATCATAAGGCACATTCCATCCTATCTTTCCATACTTCCTCCTCTCTTGGACCACAGCGTGGAAGAAGGCCAGCACAAAGACCAGGGAGGGGAAGGCAGGGTGTGGGCACTCCACTAGAGCTGTGGCTGGGATCTTGAAGTAAGTACTGCGCAGGTTCAGCTTCAGACCATTGGGAGGTTCTGTGACAACCTGAAATGGAAAAGACACATGTTGTTTTTTAAAGAAAGATTTTCAGAATAAGTTACTTGAAGAAGTTAATGGTTTACTGTCTAGTGTACATCTTTTCTTTCTTAATTTCTTTCTTTCATTTTCTTTATTATTATTATTTTTTTTTCTTTGCATTCATTGGACCAAATATATGAAAATACAAAATATATATTAAATAGTTTATGAATCTTTAGAGTTACTGAGGTTAAATTCTTTTGTAAAGAAACAAAGTAAAAATAACCCCTTCAACTTACTTTAAGTGACCTCTGCAGGATACCAATGGGGAAAGCTGAGGTTGGCTCAGTGGTCAGCCAGAGGCGGAAGTCTGGATGAGGCTTTGCCAGTTTCTCTATCTCCTTCTCCAAGTCACGCAACCATCTCACCAGTAGATGGCAGTTCTGCAACATGAGCCACTGACCTCTAGCCACAGCTGTTTCCAGGAACTGCATGGCAATCTGAAAAAGGTTGAACATGGTGCTAATAATACATCTCTTAATATTAATTAAATATTGATTAAAATAGAAATATTTAATTTCATTCACCAAGAATAAATCCAGCTATTGCTGGAGTGCTTGGAATACGCAGCATGTATTTTTATATCATACAAAATAACTGACAACCACAAAAAAAAAGAACCCAACTTATCATCAATATAAGTTTACCTTCTCCTGTCCCTGTCCCATGGACAAGAACTTGAGTTTGTTGGTTCCAAATCCAGTCCTCTCAGCCAGCTTCATCAGATCACTGGCAGGGTCAGATCCTGGGCTCAGGATAAACACGATGGGAGAGGTGGGCGTACTCTGCTCAAAGATGGCCTCAAAACTGATGATAGGTGGAGTGACATACTTCTCACCCATAACTTTGGTGATGTAGTCTGTGATGGCTCTGTAGATACGATCCACTCTCCAGCAGCGGAGAAGCATCAGGCGTTGGAAGTCAGAGAGGCTGTCTTCATATTTCAGTGGGAAAGGCTGAGATTCTGGTGAATCATGGTCAAACCACTGGAAAAGTAAAGAGTGGATGGAATAAAAGTGAAGAAGGTTGGGCTGACTCAGCTTTAGCATTCATCTGTTTATTCTAAAAGGATTATGTGGTCATTCATGGGATACAGAATAAAACAATGGGTTACTTTAAAAATGAGACTTGAGACAATGAACACACACAAACTATCCAATCCAAAACAGAACATCATATCAAAATACCTGTTTCCACTCCTTCTCATTCTTCTCTACATCTTCCAGTATGGTTCCAAAAGCACCTTTTTCTATCTCTGCCAATCTAATCATGTCCTCCCAGCCCTGTTCTGGGACCCATTTAAATGGACGGCCTCGCTTGCTCTTCTCCAGTGCTATGCTACCCTGGAACACAGAAGGAATATCATATGTTAGCGCGCTAGGTGAGACTACAAGAAACAGTACTCATATACTGTGAAATACAACAGAAAATGCTACCCTTTGACAACATGTACACTGATGCTGTATAATATGTCTGTCACATCTGCTCACTGATATTAAATTGCAAGTGCCCACACATGTATGCTTATAGACTTAAACACAAAGATTTGTTGAGCTTGACTTCTTTGTGCCGGAAGAGATAGTGACATTTATCTGCTGAACAATCTGCTTTTCTCATGCATAACCTCATAATCCATGAAATAACATGCTCCCTACATAATATAGATGTAAACTGTTGCTAGAAATAGACAAAAGTTGGCAATAATTAAATCAAAACATTCTGTAATCTATTAACACCAATCAAAATGACTGTGACTTCTATATTAAACATAAACTTATAGTTTATGTGTTTCAACTGTAAAATAAAATGGATTAAGGGGTCTAATGTGCGTCATAAAAATAACATACAGTGAAGATGGCATGCTGCAATATGTGTGGTATCTGAATGGTAAGAAAAATGTATGTGCCTGAAAGGTGGTTGTGCAGTGAGGATGTTGGGGAATGGGACTCACCTTTACAATTTGTGTTTCCTTTTGACAGTCCAGATGTAAAGAATGCCAGTTTAACAAATTTTACAACTTATATGTTTCTTAAATAATGTTATTGGCATCTGAAAAGGTATCTTAGTACTAAAACATTTTGTCACGTGTGTATGTATGTTCATAATGATAGGTATGTATTATAATATGTGATTCACAGAAAAATTGAGTTTCAAGATAAGTTAGTAGCAGGCCTTATGCATAACACAATAACACACCCAACTGCATGTTATTAGAAAAGGGGAAGCTGTAGTTATTTTGGATATGATAATCTGAAAATGTTACTACATTATCTATTCATGTGCAGTACCTTGATAAAGAAGTCCAGTTCCTCTTGTCTGATCCTTTGCTCATCCATCTCCAACTTCACTGTGATTTGGAAGGAGAATAACAGCTTGTGTTTCTCAAAGATACCTGGAAGTCAAATAACATTGTAAACATGTTTAAAAAGACAAAGACAGCATCAGAAATAATTAATGAGTATGTAGAAAATTCCTAAACATTACCTTAGGACGAGAGCCAATTTTAAAGAGTCAGTTATTGTACAAAAAGGAAATAACATGCATCCTAATTTTTTTTTCATCCTCAAAGCAAATATTTTAAGAAAAAGATATCGGAAATATTATGCTATCTATTTTACTCATTTTTGAAGAACATTTCTTACCTGTGCAACCATAGTTGTAGACATTGTGTGTCAAAGTATCCATGATATTCCTCAACCTCTTCTGCAGTATAGTATCTGGCAAGCTCTTCTTCAGAGAGAACTGGAACACATCCAGGTAAGCCGCCAAGGAATACTGATACATAGTATTAATACTGGCCATCTCAGCAAGGATGAAAAACAAAATGGCACCACGCTTGGCTGCAGGACGGTACCCATCACGAAGCTTGTCAATATCAATGGCAGTCTTGGCTCCAAGCTTCAACTTTTCTGCCACCTCAGATGCTTTGGCTTTTGTTTCTTCAAGGGTCTGGATGAGATCTGTGTTGTCCAACATGTTGCCTGTAGAAGTAGCCAGTTCTCTCAGCAGGGCATCCTCCAGGTCCTTCAGCAAGCTCTTGTTGGCACTGAATATGAATGAAGGGGTTGATGAATACGAGTACACTGCATATAAATGACCTTTTGTCCCAGTCCATTAACTGTATAAAAATTAAGACAAAAACCTGACTGAATGAGACACATCTCAACCTATATCTTCTAATACTAATTCAAAGAAAATAAGAAAACTTGTCACATACCTTGTTTCCTGGATCAATCTTTCTCTCTGCTCTTCCAGCTCTTTCCTCTCTGACTTCACAATCACACTCAGCAACTGGTCTTCCAGACCCTGTAGAAAATGATGACATCAGGTCATTCACTTGTGTATTTATTTGTACAGACAATAAAAAATGACTGGGTTGTGTTTTCATTCACAAATAGCATTATTAAAATAATCTGTCTAATGTCTGGTAAAAGATTTTCTATACATTCTAAATACAAATATACATACAAGTTTACTAAATCAATACACTGTAATAAAACTACAAATTTCCACTTTTTAAATTAAAATTCAATAATTAGACATAAATGTGAATATTTTAGAATGCCTTTGTTGTGCACTGAAAATGGGATATCTTATATTTTACCTTGAGAGTGACAGTGTAGTTGATGACCATAGACTTGCCAAAGTGAGCAGGGGTATACTTGGGGTTAGACAGCTTGGTGTTCAGGTACAGTCTGAAGTTAGGATCATAATCCACTTCCTTGTCTCCAAGCATGATAAATTCTCTACCCTGACCACCTAGAACAAAGAATAAAATAATTCACTACTTTTATGAAGGGAATGAAGGAATACAAGAAGAAAATATTATATTTAAACACATATTAACTTATGTCTGATTTATCTAAAAGAATTTATTTTATTTTCATGACACTGCTTTCAAATGTTCTTGTATTAGATGTAATCAAACCATTTTACTAATGCCTCTGTAATTATTAGTAATTAGTTAATGTATTAACAGTTTTATAATTAGAATGACTCTACAGTTGCTTACCTTTGATGTTCTTCTCGAGCACATTATCAATGACAGGATCAATGTATTCATCCACATCTTGGAACAAGAATGGGAAGCCATACTTGATGGCCATCTCCAACTGCTTCAGGAAGTCTGGGTCATTGAATGAGCTCACCTGCAAACAAAATAAGTAAATCAGTTAATTGTGCCTTTCTTAAACTATTTAATACCCAGTATTATATCAAAAAATCAATGGTATTTGCAGTTTAGTAAATGTGTATGGTCATTGGGTATTTCACCTTTTACCTGACAGTTTATCAACAATTACATATTTCATAAATATACATTTAAAAAAATACCAGCATATGTACATAAATAATTAATACTTAAATAGATAATCATTCATGGTGATATTGTGCATGTATACATATGCTTACTTTGAGATTATGTGGCTCCTCTTTCTTCTTGATCCAGTTGAGGGCTTGTTGCTGTGGGTCAATACAGAGTGGGAAGCGGCTGGCACGAGTGGTCAAGATGCCATTCTGAATGGACAGCTCATCTGGAGGCAAACTCTCTGATGTCCATCTGAATGATCAAATAATGTTTGTGAAGAAACAGTTTCTGAACAATTTCTCTCTGTTACAGATAACTACACAATACACTTCCTCTTTCTGTTAACATTATTTCTGTTGGTATGCAAAATATTGACTGTCTTAACAAGAGAAAGGATTCAAAATGAGTGCCAGTAACAGTAACTAAAGAACAGAAAAGTTTGTAAGAACTAATAAACTAATTCACTGCATCACTGTACAAGATCTTTGTAGTTTTGTTTTAAATTCCTTAAAATGAATTAGAAAAATTGGGCAACTCATTACACAGAAAACCAACAACTCACTTGCTGATCTCTACATCATTAGTGAGCAGTTGTTCCAAAGCAAAAGGCTGACTCATGGGGATTTGCAGATCCAGAATATTCTTTTCCCAGTTGTCATTCATCATAGCACTGCGGAACTCCCAACTGAAGGCTCCCACATAGCTGAGGAAGGCCGAGCCCTGGAGACAGTCACCAAGAAGCCTGATCCTCATCTGCTTCAACTCTTCAAGCTCTTTGGTCCATCTGGAAGACAATGGAGAACATATATTTATAATATATATAAATAATATGAATCTTCAATCTTGAAATAAAGCAACACAGGATAATAGAACATTATTTCTTTGTTCAACAGAAAAATCTCCACCATAATTTCACAAAAGGCAATACTGTACATAATGAATATTTTAAAGATTGAACTCTAACATATTGTTTTTTTTGTCTAAGACTTATTGAGCAACATTTAAAGATTGTCACTGGACAGATATGAAATAGATTCATCGATATGACACCTACCTAACATTTTCTGAACCTAAGCCAGAGATAAGTTTATCAGCAGCAATCAGACGTCTCTCCATGATCTCAGCCTCTTCCTGTAGAGCCTGCTTCTCTGCTATGGCATTCTCATAGCGCTGAGCAAGATCTGCCAGAGTGGACTCTAGAGTGGCCACTTCCTTTGTAATCTTGTCCAAGTCACGCTTGGCCTGGTGGTAGCTCTTTTCCAGTCTTGCCACCTAAGAAGATATTAAGAAGTTAATACATATTATGTGTTTAGCAGTTCAACAATCATATCTTTTGGATAGTCATACGGTTATAAAAAAAAAGTTAAAAATAATGAAGTGCTAATGGAAAGTAAGAAATAAACAATGAAATGATAAAAATACTGTTAGCATTTTTTATATTTTATATTTCTATTTTTTCATATTTTGTAATATCTGTTTATTGCTTTGATTGTTAGATGGGAATCTTGCTTTCTTTTCTGTTTTATTTTTACCAATTATGGTGACAATCATGAAGGTACCATTTTTTTAGGACTAACTACCTACTATAGAAAAGTACTATCACATTAGTGACAAACCTTGTCTCTCTTAGGCTTAATCTCCCTGGCTACCACACAGTAACCCAGTACAGCATCTACAAACTTCAGTAGACCATATCCAGCTTTACTGATGGTCTTCATTTCATCCTGAGTCACTTCACCCTCCTTCAGGAAACCTACAATTATAATTAATATGTTCAGCATATACTGTGATGATGTATTGTACTATCATGTGATGTGCATATCTGTATCACTTTGAGAACCATTACAACCACTACAGTAGATTTTTAACTATACGACAATATTAAATCTGTGAATTTTAAGCTATACATATCATACTGAAAAAGAATAGGAAAATCAGAGAGGGTATGGAATTAGAAAGAACATCTTCCACTTCATTATTCATGCAACATCTATTTATATACAACATTTTGTCTGACAGTAAAAATGGAAAGTAGTCTGATTAAAGATGCTTAAACAAAAAGCTTCATCAATGCCATGGTCACTACAGACTGACCTTTGACAGTGGACACCTGTTTAGGAGTGATGGCATCTACATCCATCTCAGTGAGAGACTTGAGGAAGTTAGCCTCAGACATCATTCCCTTGGCAGACTTCCAAGACACCTCCTTGATTCCTCTCATTACAACAATACACTCACACACTGTCTGCACCATCTTAGGGGGCTTGGCAAATGACCTAAAAGGAAAAATATACATACATTTTTACGAATATCATTGGAAAAAAATTACGTGTTAAGTATAGTTTTCAAAATAATTTTTAACGCTAATATTTTAAACCAATGTTTCTTTTTTTTTTGTACCTAATTTCTGTGACGTCTGACTTGTCAAGGTCATCCAAGGCAAGACGGGCTGCCTCTAAAGCTGGCAAAGCTTCAGCCAGTGATGCCTCTGCATCAGCCTAAAAATGCAAAATAGAAATGAATAAAACTTCATACTGAATCTCTAACATCAAAATACACTGAAAGTCATACATAGTAAGTCTGATAAAAAATACAAGCTGGGCAAATAACACCATGGAATGATAAAAAATAAATAAATAAATAAATAAATAAATAAATAAATAAATTTTTAAAAAACTCATGCACAAAATCTCACCTTCTCCTCACTAATAATTTTACTCTGTTCCTCTATCTCCACTCCCTTTGCTTCAGCCATTGCCTTTTTCTCCTCAGCATGTGCTTTACCAGTGGCAATCTCCTCTAGGAGTTCCTCACAGGCAGCTGTCTTCTCTGTCACAGCCACCTTCTGGACAGCCAGCTTCTCATTCAGCTCATTCAACTGACCGCTGGCCTCGGCTAGCTTGGTCATGCCTCCTCCCAGACGCTCACACTGGAAAAGGATTGTAGCACTGCAGGCTCAACCACATGTCTTGCAGTATATTAAAGGCTTGAAGATATCATCAACTAATGATTTTCTTCTTACATTAAAGGTGCAAGAAGTAATGAATGCAAGCACTGAAGAAAAAAGGAAGCCTTGCATATTTATGCACTCCCATCATGGTGTTTTACATTTTGCTATGTACTTTTCAAAAACAACTTTTTCAATGATAAGGTCTACTATTTGAGCAGAAACAAACATTTAATTTACCTGTGCTAAAATAAAGTTGTCCTTTTCTTCCAGAAGGCGGAGATATGTACTGATGAAATCCAGGTAATTCTTAGGAGTGACATAATTCAATCTCCTAAGTTTTTGCAGGAATTCTATACTATATGTAGTCACAGACTGGTGTACATGTACAATGTGACTGACTATCTTACTGTGTTGGTCCTCTGGCACTAGGGGATTCTGAAAAGATAAATGTAAATCATTATCCATGAACTCGTACATTAACCAAAAGAAGATTAAACTNCTAATTTCTGTGACGTCTGACTTGTCAAGGTCATCCAAGGCAAGACGGGCTGCCTCTAAAGCTGGCAAAGCTTCAGCCAGTGATGCCTCTGCATCAGCCTAAAAATGCAAAATAGAAATGAATAAAACTTCATACTGAATCTCTAACATCAAAATACACTGAAAGTCATACATAGTAAGTCTGATAAAAAATACAAGCTGGGCAAATAACACCATGGAATGATAAAAAATAAATAAATAAATAAATAAATAAATAAATAAATAAATTTTTAAAAAACTCATGCACAAAATCTCACCTTCTCCTCACTAATAATTTTACTCTGTTCCTCTATCTCCACTCCCTTTGCTTCAGCCATTGCCTTTTTCTCCTCAGCATGTGCTTTACCAGTGGCAATCTCCTCAAGGAGTTCCTCACAGGCAGCTGTCTTCTCTGTCACAGCCACCTTCTGGACAGCCAGCTTCTCATTCAGCTCATTCAACTGACCGCTGGCCTCGGCTAGCTTGGTCATGCCTCCTCCCAGACGCTCACACTGGAAAAGGATTGTAGCACTGCAGACTCAACCACATGTCTTGCAGTATATTAAAGGCTTGAAGATATCATCAACCAATGATTTTCTTCTTACATTAAAGGTGCAAGAAGTAATGAATGCAAGCACTGAAGAAAAAAGGAAGCCTTGCATATTTATGCACTCCCATCATGGTGTTTTACATTTTGCTATGTACTTTTCAAAAACAACTTTTTCAATGATAAGGTCTACTATTTGAGCAGAAACAAACATTTAATTTACCTGTGCTAAAATAAAGTTGTCCTTTTCTTCCAGAAGGCGGAGATATGTACTGATGAAATCCAGGTAATTCTTAGGAGTGACATAATTCAATCTCCTAAGTTTTTGCAGGAATTCTATACTATATGTAGTCACAGACTGGTGTACATGTACAATGTGACTGACTATCTTACTGTGTTGGTCCTCTGGCACTAGGGGATTCTGAAAAGATAAATGTAAATCATTATCCATAAACTCGTACATTAACCAAAAGAAGATTAAATTATACAATATCGTCAGTCAGCACCTCCTTTACAGTAATGTGCAATGCATTTATGTATCTAAATGTGTGTATGAAAAATATTAGGTGGAACAAATGCTCAAGTTTTTTTCCATGATAATATCTTTGTGCCACTTTAAGTGCCCCATACTTACTTCTGGAGATACAAAGACACTGGCCACTGCATACAAGGCTTGTTCTGGCCAGGGGAAGAACCAGTCAATGTTGGTGTTGTTCACCATGCCTGAGAAATAGAGGTGAAAGGTTAAACAGTTATAATCCACGTAACAAAAATCAATGAATAAATATTTAAGACTCTCTAACAAAGCTCTAGCAAATCCGCCAAAATCGTATCTAAATATCTTAATCTTCACAGCTAGTTTTGCATTTCAAAGTTATCTGACTGATACTATAACTGAACAAAAATGACTTTTCTAAAACAATTAAATTACATTATATCAAATAAATGTTTCAACTAAATCTTACCTGGAAAGTTTCTACACCTGGTTCTCAGTGTGTCACCTGTGGGGGACATTGCCATGACTATGTGAAGATTGTTAGCACATTTGTTCACAAAATAATTCCAGATATTCTCTCTGGCTGGACCAGAGCCTGCCTTCATGGCCTCATTACGTATCTAAAAGATGAAATATGATCAAGAGAAGTAGAAATATATGTATAATAATAAACTTTAAATGCATGAAACACAAGGTAACATTGTAACAAGCACATATAAAAGGTTTTTAAAATTAATATGAAAAACTAGATTTCAAACGATGATTTTAATCCATATCCATTTATTTATGATTTTTTTCTTGTTCTTTTATCTAAGAAAAGCCCACTATCAATTTCAAACAGACAAAAAAAAAAAAAAATAATAATAACCTGGCCTATAATCCCTTCCTTCTCATCATCAGGGTAAAGAGCAGGCACCATTCCAGATGTCAACATATTATTTATCAGCTCCAAGAATCCCTCCTCAACAACATGCTGGTCTCCAAACATGAATACAACCTTCTTATTCTCAATTCCAAGTTTATTATATAGAATCTTCAGATCATCACGGAAACTGTTCTCGCTGTACCCACGACTGAGTGTGATCTCAAACACTTCACATGAAGCAGTGTACGCAGCCAGGCGAGTGATGCTTTGTTTTCCACTTCCACCTACACCAACCAACAGTGCATGACCGCGATCCATACGAATCACACGGTGGACACGGGTTAAATGGGACAAGGCATCGTCAAAAAGGACCAAGTTCATTGGTGTATGGTTTTCATTGTATTCTTCCAAAATCTGACAAAAAAGATTTGGGATGCTCATTATGATAAATTCACAATTGGGGAAGAAAACAAATTTTAATTGGTAGTTAAGAGGGAATTTTAATAAATGATTGCATTTTAACTTTTGCTACTGTTCTACACATTTTTTGCTGTAAGAAAAATAAAGAGTTAAATTAAACAATGGTAACCAAAACACTCTTCTGTACCTCTTGAAACAAAGCCTTTGAAGCTTCAAAGTCTTGGATATCCTCATACAGTCTTGGCTCTGCCTCATCAAGTGCTGTGCGGTAGTCCCCAAACAAGATTGGTTCTCTCATAACAAATTCAAGCTCCTTCTTAAAGTTTTCTTCCAATAGGTTCTTAATATATCCCTAATATGAAGTATAAAACAAAAATATCTCAGCTCTAAATGAAACTTAATGTGAATGATGATTTTTTTTGTCTGAGCTGGAAATGGAAAACATATCGTAAAGATGTAAACAGTCTGAAAGGAAATAAATTTTCAACTTAGAATGACCCCTGCATCAGTTTTAATTTAAAATTAGGTACACAAATCATACTGATGACCCCATCAATATTATCTTACAGTAACTTGCTCCTGGTCAGCCTCGTTAATCAGCCTGTCATAGATGACCCTAAGACACTCATTTCTCCACACACGGACAAACTTGTCCACCGTGGGAAACCTGTCTGGAGTGGTCAGGCACAGACCGTTGGTGATTCTGGACAGGTCACGAAGGTTGAAGATGTAATGGAACTTAGAGGGTGTTGGAGGCATGTCTTTCACAACAGTGCTAAGAGAGATAGAGGATAATTATGATATAAATTTCTTCTTTTTTTTGTACAAAATACTGTATGAATTCTGCAGAACTATAATTATGGAACTATAAAGGCTTTATTGCAATGCTTTTATTTGTCGTTACATTTTCTAAAACAACACTAAACAAAATCACTATTCTTTTTTATTTTGAAAGCAGGAATGCTTATCAAATATGAAATCCTTTGTCAATCAAGTTTTTTCATTCAAAATTATTTTCATTGTGATCAAAAGTACTAAACTTATCTTCTCAATGTTTATGAATCAAAGTTAACTTACTTGTAAAGCTCCATAGTCATTCTAATGATGGTGCCTCCTATATCTTGGACCTCCTTGGGGAAGGACTGCAGATGTCCCATCAATATAGAATTGTAAATATGGAACAGGGATTCTTCTGCTGGGAATGTCATGTTGAACACACTAAACAAGGACACAAAGCGTGGATCTGTTTCATTACGGCCACCACCAGCTTTACCCATGGCTGCCAAGAAACCAATGTCCTTGATGTTCTTCCAGTTAAGATCCTTCCCACGATCATAGATGCCGCCTCTGTCCAATAAGAGCTTCAACAGGGCAATAGGTTGTTGTGTTCCATAAGTGTCAACCTGTAAAAGGGTAAATCACATGATACTGTATGAATAAAAAATTTACAAAAAGTAAAACAAATTTAAACAAAAGTTTCTGTACTTCTTTATCACATGAAAGATGAGACAACTGATACAAAACAATACCGCATTATATTCATCAATATGAACACATTACCTGTGGCATGTTCATGTCATCAATGAAGACCAGCATCCTCTTCCCTGGTGGAGGTCCGTAAGTGTCCTTGGTCCTTTTCTCCACACTGGCCTCCAAGTTACGCTGGACGTCAAGGGAAGTGGTTCTTGAGGAGAAGTTCACATTCAGCAACAGCTACAAACAAACAAAAGTATTAATAGAATTTGGGTATACGCTACTTGTCCCCCCATGCCTAAACCTGTTATACAATTAGCAACAAGTTGAAATATCTAAACATGTACTATTATGCACTACTGTTTACTCTAAATCATTCAACATGCATGATCTAAAATTCCACACCATAAATACATGACGTCTTGCCAATCTATTTTGCAAAGGTAACGAAAATCAATTTGACTAGATATTCATTTATATGCTGCTGACAAAAACACATTTTCACTGATATCCCACTTTCTCAACTAACATGTGCTTCCTGATCCAAGTTTCTGAGGAAATCTTGAATTGTTGCAGTCTTTGAGGTACCAGTGTCACCCACAAGTACCACAGGCCTCTTAATTCTCATCATCAACTGCAGCAGCCAGGTGGTACGCACTGTGTCCACTGTAGGGACCAGAATTTCATTGAATTTCTTCTCAGGGTCATGAATGTATTTGGGAACCAGTGATGACCATGGCAGCCACTGTTTCTTCTCAGCATCGAAGAAATATTCAAACAGGGTGGGTGCTACATTTGGCATTTCACCTGAGAATATAATCAAAAACATGGTTGTCAATAATTGATTATCTGTTACACAATTTGTATAAAATAATGGAATTATTAATAGAATAAAAACATACAGAAAACATTTTTTCAGAAAATGTCTGTGCTGTGAACAAGAAATAGAGCACTTGCTGATACTAGAAATACATCAAAATCCATCCATTAGTAAACAGCTTTAACATTATAGTAAATGTCTTAATCAAACAAGTGTGGATTCTCATGACCTTATTATTGTCCCTTACTTTGAATGACAGCTGTTAATGAACCGAAATTTTATCCCTACATAAAATAAATGGTCTGCAAGAGAAACATAACAACACCAGTCCATACCAATATTTGCAATCTTGGTTTCATCATCCACAGTGGGCAGTGAGGCCAGGTATTTAACCTGTGCATCAAACTTGAGCCGTCCATCCTCCAGCAGTCCAGCCCCCAGTGACCAGGTCATAGCCTGCAGGAAGTAAGCCTCCATCACCTCAAACTCTAAAACCTCCTTCTCCAGGAGAGCATCCAGCATATTGGCCAGCTGGGTCACCTATTGAAATAGATTATGTGGATTTTGTATTGTTTGATATATCTTTTTCAATATCATGAAAAACTATGGTGGCTGAATGAATTATTTTTCTACATTTTAGTCAATTATCAGAATCACAAAGATAACCTGCATCAATAATTATATCAGTACAAGAAGCAAATATCAAAGTGTATCCACCTACCATATTCAGATTTGTCAGAGGCACAATGGTCTTCAACTTATCTCCTTGTTTCCCATCTATAACACCTTCAGTGATCATCTCAATGAGACAGACAATGTATTTGTCATAGAGCTGTTTCAGGAACTCTTTCTCAGTCTTGCTCTGCCTGAGGTTGAGCCACTTGTCCCAGAAGGGCTGGTAGCCCAGGTCCTTAGGGTCCACATAGACCATACCACACCTGGATACTGTGGCAGGTGAGGCATACTGGAGATCATACACCTGTGGTATAAAGAGAGTTGTCATTATTGTTTTGTTGTATGATGACAATTTAAGAAGCAACCTGCATTGGGTAAAAACAAGATACTTTGGATGATAGATTTCCAAGAATTGTATTTATTTATTTATCTGTCTATTTATTTATATCATTATTGAATACTTTTTAGAAACACACTAAATAAAGTTAAAATATAACCCATGATAATAATATATCAGGGCCAAATTTAAACTGTTCAAATCATTTTTATTTTACTGTCATTTCTTAAGTTATATTCCAGGCAACATGGCAGAAACCCTATTTGCTGAGGAAAAAAGACTTACCTCAAACAACAGAGCACAATGTTTCTGTAACCTGATTCTCTCTCCATTTGCCAGAGTCAGCAGACGGTTGTCATCCATCACAGAGTTCATGTTTTCTACCCACAATGCATCAACATCCCCATCAAACACAATGTACTTCCTCTCATTTTTATCTGTGGGTTTGTTGATCTCTCTGAAGATGTTGGACAGCAAACCATCTGTCCAGTCTCTGGTTGTAGGGTCAAGGATACCATACAACTCCACTACTGGCCTGTCTTTGGGGTTGATGGTGTACATCTTGGTCACAGTGTTCAGCCTGTAAGAACAGGGTGGCAATTAGCACTAAAGCACATGTAGACTTCTTAGCTTTCTCAGATTTTCTTTTTATGATACATTTTTTCTTTTTGCTTCTGATATATGCATACTTTAACTAAAATTAAAATTGAATTTATACAAAAATGATGAAATTGAACAAGTAGAGAATAGGAATTAAATCTATCTAGAGAACTTACCTAGTCTGTGCCTGTGCCATGGTGTTGAGAACCACAGACTTGCCACCCCCAGTAGGTCCTACTATCATAGTAGTGTGCCTGGTTAACATGGTTTCATACAGCTGGATGACTTTGTCAGCCTGGAAAAATCAGGTAGTCCTATACAGTAATTCTATAACTTATGCTTTTATAACTCTATAAATTTTGCAGATTTGGGTGTATTCAATATAAAACCAAAGAAAACATGACATGTTTTAGGAGTGGCTGAAGCCTTGAACTCTTTACTACTTTAAACCCTAACTCACCTGTTGTGGCAACAAAATATAGTTATTGTCCACCAGCACTCCCTCCACAGCATCATTAAAGTTAGGGTATCTGACCCTGGGGCAGTCCAGTCCTGGGAACAAGTCCCCTATCAGACCCAGGAACAAAGGTACATCTTCATACACAAACTTGGGCAAGTTCATGTCACGCAGAGCTCTCATTAACACAACATCCTGGAAGCAAAGATTTTGAAGAAACAGTTAGAAATGTCCAAAAACACACAAGGAAAATAATCAACAATGAAAGATCAGCCAAAAATTTAAAAAACAATGTTTTAAAAGATGGTCAATATCAAAGGATTAAAGAACTGTAAACAGAACACATTGTTTCTTTTTTCTGTTTAGCACCAGCTGTCATATATAGGGTGATCAGCACAAGGAGTCATTCTTTAAGTTATAATGCTTTTTTATAATAAAAAGCTAGTCTGGCCACCATACCTCCTGTAGATCTGGGGATCCTCTCTTCAGTTCTCCTGCCATGACCAATACAGACTTGAGAGCTCTCAGACCAAAGTCATAATGATACTGCTTGGACAACTGCTCCTTTGACAGTTTGTACAACACTGTCATCTTCTTGGCTAAGATCTAAAAGATAAAACATTTAAATATTATTTCATTCCTCATAATATCTAATTTTCAATTGAATAATCTTGAATATTTGTTTTCATATTTGATAAAGTGTTAAAGCCAAATTACAAAAAAATAACTCAATTGTCCAAAATTCACTGTTCATTTTTCGTAACTGCAAATGCAAACTTCTACATTCCCTTTTTCTCTAATTAAGCATAATAATGTGTTGAAAAGTAAAAATAAAACATTATAAATTTCATGAGGCAACCTCGTACCTTAGCCAAAAGGAATCCTTCTGAAAACAACATAATTTCACAGATCTGCTGGAGATCAGGGACAATGACCACCACAGGTCTGAACAGTGCTTTGACAGACTCTGGCAGCTCTGTGCGCCCTGCGTAGCCAGGGTTCATGGTGATAAAAATCCCCATACGAGAGTCCATAGCAATCTCCTGACCTTCAAACTATAATGGAAAGAGAAGCAACTGATTACAGTAATGGCATTTGATTTTGATTATTATCTGTAAAATGCTGGACTGTAAAATTTTTGAAGAAAAATAGAAAATACAAATTAACAAACATACAAATAATGCAGATATTTTCAGGACAAGAATCTATAAAAAAACTTTTAGCTACTATCTTTTTTGATTATCTGCTGTGAAGCTATGAGACTAATGCCATCATATATCAACATATGAATATAAAATTTTGTCTAATATGGTCCTGCACAAAACAGAAATCATTTGATACTCACATGGAACTTCTTGAGCTTGAGAATGAGTGCATTCTGAATGGTCTTGAGCTGTGTTGAGATCACAGACAGTACAGAGACATCAATACGGTTGAACTCATCAAAACAGCCCCAGGCACCACACTGGCACAGACCAGAAAAGATCTTACCAACAGCCTGAAATGTAGAGAAAAAATAAAGATAACTGAGTGTATAAGTGTCCATCCACCACAAACTTGGTCATATAAAAGTGTCTGACTTAGCCATGTATAGATCATTTAAATAAACACTGGCAAGAATTTTCCTATCTTAGGTAAAATTTATCTATCATGTCCATAATATTGCTATGAAATAAAAACATTATGCAAAAGCAAAAATATACAAGAACAGTCATTAAATAAACATGGATAAAAACACTATCTTACCTTATAATCCATACCCTCTCCACAGTTAGTGACTACACACAGTAAGCCCAGAGCTTTGGCCAGATCCTTGGTACTCTCTGTCTTCCCAGTCCCTGCTGGACCTGCAGGGGCACCTCCCAGCTGCATAGACAAGGCCTGAAAATACAACAATAAAGTTTAAGATGATGCTCACGAAAGGCAGTAATGGTATCGCACCTTCTTTCTGAAAAAGGTACCTTTGTTTTCTTAATTTATCATTTCTGTAGAAAATCCCTATCTTGATTTACGGAGAAAGTTAAAATGCAAATTATTACCAATAAACTCATCATGTTGTCTGTGCTAATATTTATCTGGAACAATCAGATAGAATAATTTTATAATAATATACACAAATTCCAGTTGTGTGCACATGTTTACCTGTGTCAGAGTAAGATAGATACGATCAGTAAGAGGTGTGATCACAAGTCTTCCATTGAGACCCATGTATTCATAACCATATCCAAACTCTCCAGTACACTGCCGAACCAGCAGTTCATCAGGCTCCTTCTCCCAGTAAAACTTCAGCTGACTTTCCCACTCAAACTCTCTGGCATCCATAATACTGTAACAGAAAAATAAAAGGGATAAGTAACAGTTTTAAGAATTGAAAATAACAGTATATCAACTAGGTGTTATCTGACTTTTATATCTAATGAAAAATTACTAAAATAAAATAAACTGAATGAAGCCATTTGAGTATTAATACCTAAGAAAGGTTTCTACTTTCAGGGAAAATAACACAAGGTAACAGCATTCAACTATCTGGAAAACTTATGTAACACTAAATACATTACCTGTCTCTCACAAATCCATCAATGATATCTCTGGCGTGGACATCAATGATAAGTACTGTGTTAAACTTGGCACGGTCATTCTTGGACAAAGGTGAACGAACCTGGAAGACAGAAATGAAAATCCAAGTAAGTTTTTTTACTAATTTTTTTTACACCTGACTGAAAATCATCCTTTATGTAGAGAGCCATTTGGATGAGAAATGTCTCCTGAAGAACTAGTGTACATCAAATGTTATAAAGACTGACACATTAAGCTTACATATCCCACTGGTAGTCAGAAGACTGAACACCAAATGATATAAAAGAGAACAAAACTCACCTGCACTACAAGATCATCAATCTGTTTGTGCATTTTCTTGGCATAATCTTTGAGAGCAGTCTTGTTTCCTTTCTTTATCTTCCTGAAGACATCTTCAGTCTCCCATGTCCACCAGACCTGGTTCCCAGCCAGACACACCATACCCTGGTAGTCCATCATCCACAACACCCTGAAAACACAGGGGTATTTTAGGACACAACCATCAACAGTATCATCAAAAGTGTCCCTTTATTTATCAAAATCTTTGTAACTTTTTGACATCAGCTCTAAGAAGACACCCTGAGCTTCAGAGATAACTTGACACTAACCTCTTCACAATAGCCTATCTTCATCGTGTCAAGTTACCTCTGACCACATTCGATTGCTCCCGCCGCCCGCCAATCAAATTTAAATCCCGCACTCAATAACTCATTGAACGATCTAGCCAATGAACGCGAACGAGTCAAAGCGCGCTTTGTTCAAATCCGGACCAATCAAAGATAAGGCTGAATATCAGGGACTTGCCGTGAACCTGTGGGCAGCATGCAAAATACATCATCCCTCAGTAGATAATGATGCAGGGCCTCAAACTGCTCTGGTTTTAATTCCGATGTACTCATATTTCGCAAAGAATCAAGAGATAACTTAACACATTATTTTACGTAGTCACTGGTAGGAGACGCCATGCTTTCTTTGTGTACGGTTATGCACTCGGAACTACTCGGATGTCTCCGCACTCGCCAATAACTTTGTTGTTAGTATGGAGCTTGCGGAATCAGCCGAGGATTACCGATTGACGGTCAACCAATCAGCGTTTTCACCAAACTTTGGTGAAAAATTTTGAAACTTGGATTCGATTGGCTTATATAAACTAGGTCAAACTATTTTCGTCAGAGGAAACTTGACACGATGAAGATAGGCTATTGTGAAGAGGTAAGTGTCAAGTTATCTCTGAAGCTCAGGGTGTAAGAAGGGTGCACAAAAAAGTTTTAAATATTGTTAATCTTATTTCATAAGCATGGTTGTCTGTTCAGTTGGTGAATCTGCAATAACTGCTGCTACATGAAAAAAAAACACATATTCATCTCTTCTTAATGTCTCGCCTTTACAAATACAAACATATACCATGAAATCTCACCTTGACTTGCCATCCAAACCATACATGAATATGGCCTCCTTCGTAATGAGCCTGTTGGTCTTTCTCATCTCTGCCAGTACTTCTGTCATCCAGTCTTCCACCCTTCCTTCAGCAGCCACAGCTGTGCGGAACTCCATGATCTCTTTCTCAGCAGACACCATGGCCAAGGCGCTCATCTCGTTGTTACTGCCTTTACTGAACTGCAGGGAAGCAATGTTGTCAAACATCTGAAATGGATGTAGTAAGGTTACATTAATATCCTCAATGACAAATATTAAAGTAACATGTTCACATTCAAATTGAAAATCAATAAAAACCTTCAATCACTAAAATATGCCAAAGAATATTTCCAAATGTGAAATGTCCCCAAACACATAGACACTGAGTCTTCTTGTATGATGGATAGATTGTCCAGTTTCTTTTTTTTTTCTCACTCACACACTCACCTTAATCATGTGTTCTTGTACACACTCTGGGTCACTACTGCCCAGAATACTTAGCAGTTCATCATCTGAGATGAAGAAGAATCTGGGAAAGGCATTCCTCTTGGAATCCAGATAGTCATTCAGGGACTTCTGACACTTCTCCAACCCTGCACTGATCATCTGGAGCTCTTGAAGACGGTTCTGGGCATGACAGCTTTGTTTGATGTTGGGATTCTTAGCCGTTTCTGTCATGATCTGAATGATAAAAAATAAGGCAATAGTGAGAATTCGCTTGACAAAGTTCAGTCTTTGGTGAAATACATCTGACATAAACAGTACCATAAAGCCTGCACTGTGCTCTTTAAAAAATCTTTACATTCCTGCTTTCAACAGATGCAGATTTTCTGTCTGCTACTTATCACATTTTTACACTTAATCTAGACTTTCATGAACCCAGCCTTGCATGGCCAGATTTACACGCTATGTCAGATTGTAGTTCTGCTCACCTTTTTGAAAGTTTTGTCTAACTGATCAAACTTCTTGGCTTCCTCAGGCAGCTGTGACCTGATATCACCTCCAATGAAGATACCTTCCAGGTACATCCACTTCCTCTGTACCACCATCCATACCTAAATACAGCCAGGTCAATCAAATTAATTAATGCTTCAAAAAAACTTCAACAGATAACAAATTTGTGAATTTTTTAAAAATTACTTAAGAAGCACTTTTTACTCCTTTCTAAACTTTCTCTTGCAGAAAACAAATTCAAAAGAAAAATTGCATTCATTCAATGTTTATATAAATCCATGCTTTGTTGAAATTCCCTAACAGGTGCACAAAGGCATATTCTGTCTTAAAAAAAAAAAGAAAAAAAATTAATACATAAAACACCCTGGTTAAATCAACTTACATCTAGCACTTCACTGATATGTGACAAGCTCTTCTCCCAGTTCTGTACAGCATTCATGAATGGGCCTATGAACCTGGAGGCAGACATACTCTGTAGATTCATAGCATTATCATCCAGGAACTGCACCACTTCATCCACAGCTCCCAGGATCCAGCCACGATCTGATGTCCCCTTCATGTACTTAGTCACTGTGAACTTCATACCATTGCTGCCCCAGGTCTCCTCCACCTCTTTCACACCCTGGTTTACAAAGACATAGTCATAGTTATTATGAATACAGTGAAACAGTATGAATTTTAAATGCACCAACTTGATATGCAAACATGAAACATTTTCATGGTGACTATATTAAATTGCCGGTAATTATGGTGAATTTACCAAACATGCTATTGCAAGAGAGTGTTAAATCACATATGTGATGGTTAACTGAGATGAAATAAATTTTACATAAATTAAAATAAATGATGAAAACTATTTATAGTTTCTCATTTAAGCAACACAATGCACATGCTTAAAATGCTATAAAATTTAGTTAAAACTATATGGCTATTTTTCCCACCTTTTCAATGCTCAACTCCTTTGTAGCACAGGTGACAATCTCACCAATGGTCTCCTGGAACCTCTCCAGCTCCATGGCAAAGATGTTGGCCAGTGTGAAAGTTTCTGGGTTCATGTCAAAATTCTGACCAGTCTTAGTCATCAACTCCTTCCAATGTCTGCAATAGAATAAAGCATTTCAAGAATGTGCACTTTGAAAAAAAAATTGCAATTATAAGATAATTTTTATGGATACTTAATTATAAGTGATTGAGAGACTAAGCTATCAGTGCAAAATAATGAAATAATAAAGTGACTTCTAAAATCTATAAGGGAGCATGTAATTTCTGCACCCCAGTTTGAACTGTACATCTATCTTAACTAAGAACTACGTTCCACATTTACCAACAGACATTGAGAAAAAGTACAAAGCAAGCACATTTTAAAATACCTTTCTCTCAGAGCTTCATGCTTGAGATCCACAAACAATGGAAGTGAGTCCCTGAAAGCTTTCATCTTTTCGTCTACAGCTCTGGCCACTGGCATGTTGCGTATCTCTCGTGGAAGTTTCCTAAGGGCCTTCAGGTAGTTTTCTATGCCATCCTGTAGGAGGGTGACATTCAGGTTGGCCCATAGCTGTTCTGACCACTGCTCTCTGGCAGCCTAAAGGGAAAAATAGATAAGGTCAATTCATTTTAATGTTTATTGTTCAATGACTTTCTTATTAGTAAAATCACCATATTGTAGGTCAATGTTAACTTTTTGGAATGATTATACATCTTTCAAAATAGAAAATGAACCTAATAAATATTTTTCTGAATAAGTCATTCCAATTTGAACCATCTACAAATATGCTTATAATAGAACAAGCCATGCATTCAAACTTCACCTAAAAAGATTAAATTTGATACATTATCTTAAAGTCATTGTGCATCACAATTTTTATCAACAAAATTATAGTGTCATGTTAGAATGTAAACCAGTTGCTTAAGCTTCAAACTACATACTTTCTGGTCCAAATAAATTTGGTAGATTTGCTCCAGTCCTTTCATGTCTTTATGGACCTGCAGTAGCTCTGGGTAGGAAGTAATTGGCAGGTCAAACAGCTTCTCTGCATTGGCAAGCTCCTGGCGATCAGCCTCAAACTTGGCAACTTCTTCTCTGTACTGTTTCATTAGTTCAACACCTTTAAAGATAAATTCAACAGATTTAAAAAATAAATTCATTAGTTGACAACAACTACTGCTACAGCACTGAAGGAAACAGTTAAACAAGAGGCAATTATTGAACTTTATAGTTCAGTTAGACCTTAAGTTTTAAACCAAGAACATTTATAGTTACCTACAACAGAAAAACGATTGCAAATGATACATGCAACATCAAAATCAGAATTATGATACAAAATGCTGTTTGCATTTTCTCTGATTTAAACTGAAATATTTTTACAGTTCCATTTCTAACATCAGCACTTACCTTTGTCTAGATCTTTTCCAGAAGCTCCTGGTCCCTCCATGTGGAAACGTTCCGCAAAGCTGTTCAATGTCTTGGCAAACTCTTTGATTTGTTCCAGTGTTATCTGAAATAAGGGAATAAATGGGCTGTAAAAAGCATGAATGTTTTTATAACAAGAATAAAAAACAAGAACATAGCTACCTCACATGTATAAATAATTAGTACCAACTGTTGCCATATGAAAATCCATGGCCTAAAATCAATTTGTTAATTAGTTACAATTAAATTCTTTCATTACTAAAACATAATAATGTATTCCAAGTACAACTTAGAAATATCTGATATGCTATTACTATTTGGAAAATCAAATAACTTTATTACTATTACTTTATAGCTTAATAATTTCTTTACCTCTGTAAATTTCTTTTTGACCACCACAAGTCCAGCATCTACATTCTTGGACTTGAAGACAAGGTCATTCCACATGTCCTTCAAAGAGGCCACAAGGGTGGTCTCCTCCTCAGTGGTCTGAAATGAGTTAATGAGATATATTTAATTGAAAATACATAAATAAATAAATATACCTGCTCAAATGAGCACTATCTTCAATTCAACACAAGTCAACTGCAATGAAATCTGCAAATTTAAAAAAGTTTTGGTTCATTACCTCTAGCTTGTACATGCCAAGGGTTCTGTATTTCTCCTTAATATCCACAATCCTGTTTTCTATCTCCAGAGACCTGTCTTTAATTTCAGCCATAATTCCTAGCACAAACTTCAGATCTTCAAGAGTCTCTGGGGGACGCTCTAGGTCATCAGATTTTTTCTGTAAAAATGACATATATGGCACTGCAGCAAGCATATTTCTGTAAAACACCAGCAGTTCTGCCATGATTTTTAAACCATTACTATTTTAATCTAAGCTTAAAGACAGAGATATAATAATAGCACAATTTAAACCTTGCCAAAAAAAAAAATGCAACAGTCCTTATGATGGTTACATTGTCTATATTCAGGTATTGTATTAACAGAGTAAAAGGAATACCACCTTTGACTGGTATTTGGAATGGTTCATCTTATTCATAATTTTGCAATATGATATTATATTGCACAACCATAACATAATGATTGAATCCATCATCTGGTGCATGTGCAATAGGTAAATTTAATAAACTCACCTCCAACTCTTCCTTGAGACTGTACAGACTGCTCTTAGCAGAATCCTGCAGCAATTTCCCAATGAGGTCAATCCATTGCTTACAATGGTCCTTGATGGAATGTGCCAGTGGCTCCATGACCAGTCTGATACACATCTGGTCCTTGATCAGCGGCTGGTTGGCCACATCCTCCATGACCTTGTGATAATACTGGAGTCGGTCATCGTAGGCCACAACACTGGGGTCTTTCTGCAACCACCTCTCTGCTTTGGCAACCTGCAAGGTAAAACAAAATCATGTCATATGTTTGATTGGGGTTTAAAAGGTTTTTATCTGTCTGCAGTTTCTTTTCATTAAAACTTTAACATGTAACTATGAAATCTTTTCACCCAGTTTTTATATATAATACTTTTTATTCTTCTGATTCAGTAAAATAATTTGTACTAATATGTAGTCTATAAATACTAAATTGGCCGGATACATATTATTATTATTATCATTATTATTATTATATCTGATATGATTATCTGTGAAAAAAGATGAAAGCTGAGTAAATATCTGAAGTACCTTTTCCATGTGCCAGATTCCCTTATATCCCTTCCACTTGAAGAGATACCTCTGTAGATCTGTCAGTATGTTTTTCATGTTGCCCTGGATCACTCCCACTAATTCTATGATTTCTGGGTTGGTGGAGATATCAGAGAAGAAGGTGAAGACATATGGCTCATCTTCTCCTGGGATTTTCTGAGGCGGAGCTTCTATGCACGTACCATCCATCCAGCGCACAAAATTCTTGGTCCTAAGAAAGTGTTATTCATTTCTATGAGCATGAGGAGACTAATATCATAAACACTTGATATATCAGCTATCAAACTGCTAAAATATACTAATCAGATTATAGAACTCATTTGCAGTGTTTGCTCAAGTGTAGGTAAAATGAATAAAATATAAGTTTTTTTTTCATACCCCTCAGCACAATCACGGACACTCTGCAGAGTAAGTTTGTAGATCTCATTGGTAGCTGGATGTAAGACAACATCTGGTGCTGCCAGCAGGGTCTGCACCTGGAACAGTGCCACTGGGTTGACCACCGCCATGTTGAAGGCCTTCAGGTTATTGATGATCAGCTGAAGAAAAGAGCAAATATCCATTATAATATTTGTTCTTTTGAAATATTCTTAAGTTAACAGACTAAATGTAAGAAAATGTATCAATCAAATGCTTTATCTTTACCTTGTTTAGTGAGTCATACACTCTCCTCTCCCAGTAGGAATAATACTGTCTCAGCTTAGGAGATCTCCCTGTATTTGTATGAACAACCAAGCCTTCCATCTTGGTCAACAAAGGACCTATGGCTCTATACTTTCTTGCTAGGACTTCAAAATCTTTGGCACGTTCTCTTTCAATATACTCAAAAAATTCCTGCAAAATGACAAATAAAAATTATTTTTTACTTTTTTATCTGATATTTTTATCTGCTTCAGATTCAATATAAAAGTAACACTTTTGAAATAAACTACCAATTAAAATTTTTCATAATTCTAAAAGGAATATTTCATGACAGTCAAAAAAGAACATTTACCATAAAAATACATAACATCTTTTTCATCAAAACACACATCTGCAGAGCAATAAGAATCAAAGATTACATGAGACATAGACATAAAACGTTTTCAGAGTCTCACCTTGCAGCTAGGCAGCACATCCTCGAATTTTGGGGGAGGACATTTGAAAAGGTTGGTCTCTTCAACCATTTTGAGTCTCTGGTTGATGTCTGCCGCATTCTTCTGAATCTGGTTCACCAATGACTCAAACTTGCTAATAGCCTACAATGTTTTTAAGTACATGATAAAACCATATGCAATATAGTGGTTTATATGACAACAATAACAACAACAAAACAAATATGATGATATAAATTACAATGTTGTCAAGGTAGAAGTAAAAATGCAAGTTTAATATCTATTTAGCATTAGTTTGGTGATTCATCAAACAAAGTGTTGTATTTACTTACACCATTGCACTTAGCAACAAAGTCAAAGATTCCCAGAGAGTTCCAGTTGAGTCTCTTGGATCCTGGACGAATAACTCGCCTCAGTTCTTTCATATGATGCTCCAGCAAGATAGTCTGGAATAATATGCACTCTTTAGATAAGACATCAGATATACGCATGTATTAATTTTGAAACCAGGTTTTAATTGACATGAGCTGTGTACTTATAATAAGTATTTTCTTGATTATAGTATTGAATCAACCATGACAAACCTAAGATCTATACCACGTGGGAAATGGTGTCCATTTCTGTAACTTCTGGAAACTATAGCACTGTCTTTCTTGGAGAATGATTCATGATTACTTTAAAATGACCAAATTCAAAATTCAGTGAAACTTCAGAATGGGAGTGTTCCCCACCTCAGCCTGATCAAGAGATCCCAACAACTGGTGATATCTGGTAAGCATGTGATTCAGTCCATCCACATACTTGATGTATTTTTCCTCCTTAAAAATAAAATAAAACCCATAATGTTATTGGATGTATTAAGCAGTGTGTTTCTTATTTATCAGACATTCATTATCATTGTCAACAAATAAATTTAAGCTGTTTTTCTTGTAAAAATTTTTCATTTCAAGCTCATGTCAATAAACTTATATCTCCAAAATCTTGAACAATACAAGTTTCCGGTAAAAAGATAGATGAGAAACACAATATATACAGACCAATTGTAACTTGGGCAATTACAGGCATTTTTATTATGTGGACCTCAAATGAGATTTTACAGCTCTGAATTAACTAACTGACAAACCAATCAAAATAGCAATACAAAAGTTTGAAAAGAATATATCCTTTTCACCTGCAGTGCGACATTTCTGGCCAGTTCTGGCACAGCAAAACCCAGCTGCTCCATGTACTTGGTTTCTGAGACTATCTCTGCTAGCTGTGGGTCATAATCCACAATATACTTCACTTCGTACTGAGTACCTATAAACCCAAAGGAATGTTGTGAGCATAAAAGGGTGATACTTTATGCTTTGCTGAAACACATGCAACAATGTTTGAATATTAGAGAATGGGTATCAATAAAAGCATTTACCACTGCAACTGTCACAAAATTAATTATTTTTTAATAAAAACATCAATCACTTAAGCATACAAAGCAAAAGCTTAAAACATTCAAGCTATAAAATGTATTGTCAATTACACATTAAGGCAACACAGTACAAAAAGTCATTCATTTAGAAAGACCAATTTGCTCCTTCATAGTTATTTTAAAATTGCATCACAGCAAACAACTGTTACGGCAAATATTGTTGTTCTTTCCAATTAGTCAAAAACAAAAGACATAGCACAGCACCACTGAAAAGAAACCACCAACCACATCTTCTAGTGCACACTGAAGTTATAACAGTGGTAAATAGAAAATATTAAATAACTGTAAGAGGAAGAATCATTACGTACAGATTATTCATGATAAAAGAATAAAAAATACTCTTTAGAAATATCAGCTCTTAAAAATATAAAAAGTGCAGAAGGAAAAATATAGTGCAAGGTCCATCAAAATGACCAATAAGGTATGTTTTTTTAGCACAGACACACCAGAAAAATTAAGTTTAAAATAAAAAGCACCAATACATAAAGCACAAGCACTCTGCAGGCTTTTCAAATGTGCAATTCAAAGCATCATACAATGTAGTATATCACCCACACAAATTGTTTGGAAGCATTAATGTCACTACCTTGTTCTTCCTGTTTAGGAGTTGCTGAGCGTATCTCGGCTAATGTGTTAAAAAGCACACAACAAAATTTTGTTATTATAAGCCAATTTAAATAAAACATAGGGTTGTATTGGCTGACAGACAACAAGCATTTAATGGCATATCCCAAGTAAAGTATTAATTAAGTTCTTTAGGCATAAGCATTCAAATTCACATGGCTTGTTGTTAGTTAACATCAAATAGCACTTGGTCACACATTTCAAATTCTGATATCTCATGAGATGCAACATTTTGCAAAATTTTGGCAAATTAATTGCTTAACACTTTATTTTTACAAATATTTTACACCAGTTAACTAAAGTAAACCAAAGTGTAATAAATATTAGAAAAAAGTATAAATTGCAATTGTTAATATCAAATAATATCATTTCAATTAGACAAAATGGTGGAATAAATTATTACAACTCTTAACTACACGATGACAATACAACATTACAATACGATGACAATACAATTTTACCACTTCTGGACAATAAATGAACCAAAAAGTAAATAAATAAATAAATAAATAAATAAATAAATAAATGATTGCCCATATCAAAAGAGGAGTTTATGAGTCAAACATATATCCACATTTACACTCTGATGACTTTGGGTAAAAATCTCAGAGCAGAAACATACCCTTTTTAACCTGGCCATTATCTTCCACCATGATTGATATCCTGCCACTTTGGCTGGTATTTTTACTCTGTGAGTCTTTGTGAGGAAATAAGAAAGCATGCAATTTATGTTAGTAAATAGCATTAAGCACCTTATTGATAAGCCTTTCTGGTGTGAAAATAATAGTTGATTTTTTGAATGATAAAATTAGGAAATAAAAGCAAAATTTCAACAATAAATACTGTGCAAGATATAAAGCATGAAAAAACTGAATGTATAAAGCAATAGTAAAACAACAGAGATTAGCTAGTCTTGCTTTTTAATCAACAAATTTTAAAAAATTGTGGTTTCTATAATTTGATTTTGTAGCAAAATATCCCAAGAAGAAATTACAATAAGCAAGCCAAGAATAAGTAACTATAAATGTTGTGATGCTTAAAAAGGCAGAAGTGTAAAAGTTTCCAGCTTAGTGAATCATGCAAGATAAAGTTGTGCTTTTGGACTTCAGTGAGTAAATTTGGTGACTGTCTTAATCAACATCCACGAATCCCATCTATCTATATATAAAATAATGGTTGAGTTCAATGAAAATCAACTGATTAGGATTAGGAGCCCACAGATTTGCTATCTATTTGCACATGCTTTCTTCCTTGTTGCATTTTTTCACCTAAGTCTTCTTTACCATCATCATCATCACAGCAGCAGCATTCTCATGTTCCTTTTTCCCAATAGTGAGCTGCATTACCAACACATATAATATAACTCACCTGTGTCTTTTGTTCTTTCACCCTCACTGGACCTGGGAACCAGTTGCTGCTGGGAGGGTTTTGCTAATAGATTCCTCTTCAGTAAACCAGGCAGGACTTGCTCGACATTTTCTCTCCATTCTTCATATTTCTTGTCCTCATAAGCCTTCATCTGTTTTGCAACGCTAAGGTATTTAGCTCTTGCCTGAAAAGAAAAAAATTATTATTAGGAATAACTTAATCCACTTACATGCCATGAAACATACATATGTGACATACAGATGAAGAAGAATATGCTCTTATTAACAGTAGGATTTTACCTGTATTACTCATATACTAACGGTTTTATAAATTAGCAGAGACATTATCAATCATTGCAATTTCAATTTAAGAAAATTTATCACTTACAGCTTTTCCTATGTCACTCTGCATCATTTCATCCATGGTAAGGAAGCGGATGATGGTTTGTTTGATCCTGATGAATAATGCTCTCTCCCAGAAGATGGACCCTGCTACAGGAGGTTGGTTTTTATGGAGAGGTGGAGAATCCTTGTTGTCTCTGAACAGTGAATCCATGATGTCAACCTGAAAAAGAGAGCCCATGTCTTCAATTTCATGTTCTTTTTTTCTTTCTTTTTTTAGGAGGGATTATATCTAAACAAAAATAATAAAAAACATAATGAAATTCTTCATCAAAAAGAGATTCAAATACTCTTTGTGGAGAAGCTTAACATCAATAGAAGAAGGTAGCTTTAGGCAAAGCACATGGTAAAGCAACTAAGCAACCAACCTCTCTTCCATACTGCATCAAAATATCATTGAACTTTTGCATAAGCTGATTGTTGATAGCTTCTCTGGAGCGGATGTTTTTAAACTTGAGGAGAAGATCAAATGCTCCCTCAGCAGACCTCAGAGTTTTGAAGGACTCATCAATAAAAGAGAGTGCCTCCTCCTCAATAGACTGGACCTCCCTGTGAAACCACTTCATCACCTTCTGCCAGCCATCTTGCTCTCGGAAAGAGAATGGATCGAAGGACACCTGTGAGGGTGTGAAGTACATGTAATTTAAAAAAACAATGCTCTTTATCTCTTTTTCAGAATAAATGCAAAATAAACAGAAGCTAAAAAAAAATTGCATAGAGATCTAAAAATGCAATATACAGGTCTGTAAAGGAAAAGATCAGAAATTTAAAAGGAAATTCAAAAAGTTTTACAAAAAATCAAAATATTTCCTCTGAAAAAGTTGTATAAATTTACTGTTACCAACAAACTGGGCCAAACATGTTTAAATATCATCATGTCACATAAACAATTATTGTCTTACATCTTCAATTGGTTTCACCAAATCATCAACTCTTTTCAGCACATCATCTATCCTCTTAGGGTCCCCAGTAACTGCTTTCAATTCTGGACCAAAGATGTTGTAGAACTCTTCAAGAACCTAGGAAATAAAGAACAAAAAGCATAAGCAAGGATCAACAGTTGCAATAATTTTTGCTCCTGTTGAGCACAATTATCTGCGGGTATTTTAGTTCTGTTTACAGTATTACCATACTCCTTCACTAGCACCAAATAAAAAAACAATAAGTGTTGCTAATTTGTGAATTTTTGGCTAAAACAGTGAAGTAATTTTTTTTCACCTGTGCTACATCATGAAGATCCTGGCAAATTCGGGACATATAATCTGTCCTCTCAAATAGTCTCTTTCTGTCAAACTCCCAGCGAGCATCACGACCTGATGCCTCTATCTTGGCTCTTACATCCAGATAAGATTCTTTCCACAGGTCAAGCATTCTCTTTGCCTCAGAAGTCTTTCTTTTCACCTCAACTGGTCCATCTCTACATTAAAAGAATGAATTGAATTTGATTTAATATCAGAATTTCATCATTGGCAACCATAGTTAATAAATACCCATTGCTTAGAAAAAGATGGCATAATAATTATACAAATCCTTCCAATACATTTCAACAGATGATAAGCAATTTGTTATGCCAATCCTAACACAAGAATGACCAGAAATATAAGGAAGAGTACACTGTCAGGTGTAAATATGTATTTTTTCATAGCACTTACTTATAGAGAGTCCTGCAGTTGATAACTCTTGCGACTCTTTCTGCTAGCTCCCAGGCTATTCTCTCCATCAGGGGAACCATTCTTTCATCTCTGTTATAATGCCGTGAGATAATCCACACCATACGCAGTGCATTCATCATGGACGGAATGGTTTCAATCACAACATGGAATGTAGCACCATGGGTTATATTCTTAAAATGCCTTTCCAGTGTGGAGAGGAATCTCACATTGTCTTTGGCTTCCGTGTAGAGTTTATTAAGATCCCCGCGGTGGATTTCTACAGCATCTTCTACAAGGCCCATAATACTGAGAACTTTCTGTACATAAGGCAATTTGAGTTGTTCAATCAAGGCACTCAAAGCAGCATTACGCTCACGCCAAAATTCAATCTCTGCAAGGGGTCCATTCCCCTGTGGCATTTTCTTTACTACAACATCTACTGCCATCTGGACTTGCTTGTCCCAGTCAATTACTACCTGTTCAAGTTGTGCACAAAGGTCTTTGTCCTTTGCTGCAACATGGATGTCTTCTGGGAGCTCTATATCAGGAATCTCTAGTCGCACTTCTCCTTCAATCTGCTGTATTGTGCGAGTGATACTGTTGGCAAACTTTTGCATATTGATCAGAAATTCATCTCTGAGCAGAGCCTTGGCTTTGGATTCCTGGACATTTATCTCTTCTTCTGTTGAGGCAGCTGGAGAAAAAAAATTATATCCTCAATAAATTTTGTTTTTCAAACATTGGGTCAGTCATGAAAGACTTTCCAAACAATTGAATCACCACAAAATTGATAAAAAATTTGATAAGCTTATTTTCAAGCTTACAATCAAATGACATATCTGAAATATTATCCTTTCAGCACTGTCTAAGCAANCGGGTTCAATCTCATCCTCTGCCTGTATATCAGGAATCTCAGGCTCTGAAGGGAAATATTAAAAGTAATTACTAGACAAAAGACCAATGTCGATGTCTATTCTGCTTGAACTTATAAGTTAAGTACTATCAAAACTGATAGAAAAACGCTAACAAGCTGAAGTTCCAGAGTTTAACTGCAGCAGTTGCAGGTGCCCGTCTATAAAGCGAATATTTAGCATGGAATCATCAAGAAGATAGTATGTCTTACCACATTCCACTTCAACTTCTTCTTCTTCCTCCGTAACTATCTTGTAAAATAACAAAGCTGTTGCATTTTCCTCCGGTGTTTCGTTCAGAAACTTAGCGATTTCTCGTTCGTAAAGTCCATCATCTCTGTTGAGGAGGTCATCAAATACGTCATTTTCCTTGATGTCCAATGCTAAATACACACGGTCCCTAATCCATTCGATTCTTGGGTCATCCATTTTGTATTTTATGTACGCAACATTACTGACAGTTCAATTTATCGGATATATGCATCAAATGCAAAAAGTACATTTTAACTTCAGCAAACCTTAACCTCAACACAGTAACATTACCTGCTAAATAGATGCGCAGTATGAAAGAGTTCAAAAAAGAACCCTTTTATCGTGTGAAATAAAGATAATAGCTCTGCAGACTACAACTTTTTCAGTGTTTTAGAGCTAAAGATACACAATGCAATGAATTTATCAGCAAAAGATTCGATATGATGGGAATTAAATCGGCGCCCAATGACACAGAATTTGCGAAAGTAGTACTACTAGTTTACCGTCCGCCATATTGTTGCTATGTATGTGTACATCTCGCAAAAATACAAGTTAACGGGAAGTAGTAAAGTGTTAAAAAAGAATCTATTTTTGAAATAAATTTCAAATCATCCTTCAATATAGACTTTTTCATAAAACTAAAAAAATTAAAACCGAAGAAACTTGAGAAAAAATGTTCCCAGAATTCTTAGATGTAAACATTAGCTCGTGCAAGTGCTGGAAGAGCATGTTGACAACGTGTGCCCACCAAACGTAGTAATCGAGTTTTTCATGTAGTTTACTGTCCTGGGAGAAACTGCAATGGAATCATTATGGAAAGAGTTTTTGTCGGAAGGATTTTGTTTTTTGTTCTGTGTAGCTTTATTTACATTTATTTTTATAAATAGGAAATTGTTTGTCAAATTTATTTCAAATTTTTATCACGGAGATAAAATCCAACACAACTCATCAGCCTTGTGTGATTCTCCTGGTTGTGTCAGGTGCAACAAATATGAACAGGCGCAAATAAGGGCGAAAAAGAGACTAGATATGTATTTAGCAATTGTCCAGGCAGAACCAGAGGGGCCAAAAACCAACCAAAAGCATTTGGACAGAATATCTGAGTCAGTGATGGGAGAAGGAAACGTAAAATATGAGGTGGAAAATCAATGCCCAAATGTACTTTATGTGAAAGGATTACTTGCAAAGCCAATCTGGCAAGACTGCATGTTCCAAGCAGATGTAAAAATACTGGAATCAAATGCTGATTCAATATTCAAAGAATTTGAATGTGTGTATGCCAGTACTGTTGGGTGGGTTTGTAACACTACCCCAACTGGAAAATGGCTAGTTTTTCACTTAGTAAACCAAGGCACTAAACTTGAAGATAATTGCAAAAAGTGCCCACATACTGTAAGTCTTCTTAAGGCATTGCCTTCCTTTATGGGCTGTAATCTCTTAGGCAATGCATCTTTCTCAGTGGTGTATCCAGGTACAGAAATAGCAGAACACTTTGGGCCCACAAACATCCGGATTAGAACTCATTTAGGTATGTATGTATGTATTAGCAGCGACTAACATTTAAAATGTGCCAATAAACATAACCTGGTATATTAAAATTTTATATATAAAGAAAAAAGTTGTTCTGCTGTAAAAGGATTTGTTTGAATTTTAATGATGTGATTGATTAATTTACTCTGTCTTGGTTATTATTATTATTATTATTGTTCATTAACAGGACTTGTGGTCCCTCCAGAATGTGAGCTACATGTGGGAGGCCAGACAGCCACGTGGAAGCAAGGACAGTGCACTGTTTTTGACGATTCATTTTCTCACTCAGTGAAACACTCAGTGAAAGGAGAGGGTTCCAGAGTTGTGTTCATGGTGGACCTGTGGCATCCAGGACTTACTCTAGAAGAAAAGATAGCTCTTGATTTTATATATTCCCCCGATTTGTGATGGATGATGACTATGGACAGTATAAAATAAGAAAATGTCTTTTTTATCCATTAATTGGCATACATGTAACTCTTCTTGATAAAGAGAAACTTCACACACACGTTTTGGGATACTATTTTTTCTTTTTGTAAGTGTATGTACATGTGCACATGAGTACTGCTCGTCTTATTTTATGATGCATACACATGTATGATTAGAGATAATGTATTGGGAAAAAATGTGCAATTTTGTATTCTTCATGTAAGAATAAAAAGATGTTTTATTAATTCTACAACTGGCACAGCTGAAAGTATGTGCATGTGTCAAATAATGGTAATCAATATCATATTTAGGTCTTGAAGATAGCCAGTTTTTTTTTTTTTTTTTTTTTTTTTTTTGCTAATCCAAGTGTAACATAGAACAGGCCTTTTCAGAAATCTCAATTAAAGGTTTCGCAAATTGTCAAAAAAGAAAAAGCAATTAGAATGACAAGAATTTTTTAAGGGAAATGCTATTATTTGCTTTGCACTGTATAACTATCAGTGGAAAATTTACATGCTGGAAGGATGTTATTAATATAATTTTAATTGCCAAGATTGTAAAATGCACTAAAAATTACCCCGTTTTATTATTCCACAAAAAATGGTATCCTTCATTGCTTCAAAAATGAAAGTAGTGAAAATAACTCTTCACATGTGATGAAGTGGTTCGTATTATGTTGGACAAAATATTATTGGTAGCAAAATTATAGGTTCATAATATAGCATAAAGTTCCAATACATTGCTTATATAAGATGAGCCCCATACTATATATAGAATAAAAATGTCTCCATTGACACAAAAATAAGAACACTGAAATGCTACATGTGCTCAGTCCCCTTCTATGGTTGTGAATGGTGGAATATCTCCAACAACCCTAAGAAGAAACTGAGAGCTATGGAAATGTGGTACTTATTTGTATGTATAGATTGTTGAGAATATCCTAAATAGAAAGAAAGACCAATGGAGAAGTGCTACAACTTGCAGGAGTACAACGCTCACTGATGAAAACAATCAGAAAAAGACAAATGAAATCTTTGGGCCATAAAATCAGAAAAGATGGAATAGAAAAAAAAGTTCTCTGTGGGAAAATTGAGAAAGAAAATTGAAGGAAGTATAGGAGTAGAGAAAGACAAAGAACTTTATACATTGACAGTCTTTGTGCTTTTGCAATCAATCAATGACTGGCCAAGAATAAGCTCATTCAATCGAATGAAAGTAGAGTAAACTGGAGGACCATGATCGTCTATGCCTGAAATAGGCCTTACACTTGAAGAATATAATTTCTTGTCATGTGCTGCAAATAGGCCTGACACTTAAAGAATATAATTTTTTTGTCATGTTGGCAGGTTTTACAAGATATAATTTAATACTGTACATGTACATCAATACATTCGAAATTCCATATTTTTATAGTATACGTACACGTATGACAGGTAGTTGAAAAGGAAAACGGATGGAATTCTGTGTGCACACAAGTTGGTTATCCAGTGAACTTGCTCCAAAAATTGAAACTGATAATGAAAGTGGCATACGATATATTATTATCCTTCGCATTACACTGTCTTCGGTTTAATTTTCACTTTCTTGTAAATTTATTTTTTGTCATTATAAACGTTATCTGTTGTTTTTAGTAAACTTAACATTAATTGAAAGCTTGTCAGAATATGACATCTTCGATGGCGCCAAAGGAGGAAATCAACCATACACAGTGTGTTGCATTCAGAATGACCTGCAAGCATTTTATATTTGGACTACACGTCATGCAACTCACGTGACAGGTGCGCTCACTGATTGACACGGAAGTGACCTGACGAAACCTAGGTCTCTTTTCTCTTCTTATTTGTAGAATAATACCGCAACTAAAGCAAATGTAAGAAAATGAAAGCATCTTTTTAAAGTAGCAGAGTGCCCCTCTTCACGAAAAACGTACACTATAGCCCTGTGGAACATTTAAATTTGATGTGACGCTTGTGCGTATTGATATAGAACTACTTTCGACATCCTCCTCACCCGGTGGCCGCCATCTTATACTAATCGAACTGTTAGACAGTGAAGACAGCCACCGGTATAACAGAAAGTACGCCTTGAACACACACTGCATCAGGTGCATGAGATCCTGAGACAGCCAAGAAAAGCAAGATGGCACAAATACTGCCGATTAAGTTCCAGGAGCATTTACAGGTGGGTATTGTGGAAGAGGGTCTCCGGCACTGAATGACAAACACGCCCCTCACAATGCCAACTCATCGAAGATCATGCAGAATAGAAATAAGTGATTGGCATGTCTCAGTTTTTCAAACANCATTTCACTTACATTGGTATTACCTGTTGAGCATAATTAAAATTTGATGTTGAATTTGCAGTTAAGCATAATGTACTTTTGCATCAGAATTGACAGTAGCCTGTTTTGTGCATTGTTATTGTCTGCTTTTTGTCTGTACATTTGACAGCTTTGCTGCCTTGTTAAAGTTGATGGTTGATATTTTTTCTCCTTTATTTTTGTAAAGGTAATTGATTTCATGAAAATGGGATTTTAAAGATTTGTCAATGAAGAAGCACTCTATAAGTATATTATGATATTTTATTGGAGGGTCTTTATTGTCATTTGAAACACCAATTGCAAAGAATAAAGAAATGAAAGCAGAAATTTATTGTGCTGCATAGGTGTGTTTGACCTTTGATCGGAGTGTCCTGCTTGAGATAAAACTTCTGTACCGCCTCCTGTTCACATGATAACACATTTTTGTGGACTATTATCATTGTGGAATTCCCCTATATAAGATGCCATATTGACCACTTTCATTTTGTCTCCCACTGGTAGGAAAGCTTGAGAATGACATCTGTTTATCCTTTTGTCTTTCCATTTCACAACCCTTTTAGCTTGAGAAAAGAGTTGTGATCACTAAATTTAGAATACAGAAAGGTTCCGTATATAAGGTACTACACCTTGGCCTTTTTTGTTAAGGTCACATCATTGTGGTTACCTGACATGGGGCCATTAGTCTGTAGTCACCTTGTTTTGTCAGGACAGTTAAAATGTGCTTCCTGAAAGGTATTATATTTTACATGTTTATACTTCTAAAAAGTGTCTTCCCTCTGCTGTTCCTGTAGACTGCTTGGTGCTTATGTTCATTGCTGCTGACAACTGGAATATTTAAAGTGATTTAAGGAATTTCATACTTATCATTTAAAGTGAAAGTCAAAGAAATGTCTGATAACCATAATATTTATTTAAAAGAAAGAGAAAAAACAGCAGCAAGAATTTAGAAAAGATTTATCCATTTGGTCTTCCTTATCATTTCACTTGCATGTGGTGTTAAACATGGCAGTATAAAGTTGTCTATAGTTAATGATTTTCTTCCCATATAAAGCCCCCACAATGTTCATGAAACCTACTTGATTCAAACAGCTGGCAATATGATATTCTTACTCTGAAGGTCAAGAATGAAGTAATTAGATGCACAGAAAAAAAATCAATGACACCATTGATCTCCGGGGGTGTCTACATTGATTTTTGTCCACTTATGGCCTAATGCAGTCACTATGAACAATGGACAAAACGATAATGATTTTTAATGCATAGGTGCAGTATAGTAGTAAAACTTGGGGTAATTTTATCTTGTAATTATGAAGGGACAGTTGGGTAATCAAAGTGCCTCCACCTTTACTTGAATGTTATAGTAAATTTCGCAGCAATGAGAGTTTATTGGTAAAGCTTATTGCAATTATATCATTAAAAATTCATATATGTGTCAAATTTTTGTATTCTGTTAAATGATTTCATAACTGGATTCTGTTTTTATATCTGTCTAAAGTTAAAGTGGTTGGTAGTTCCTATATATAGCAAGAAGCTAGAACTTGTTTAGACTTCTGAGATAGAAAATGAAAGTAAAAAGGGAATATTGAGATTAGTGGTTAACAGTTTCTAGTAGTATTTATTTTATATTATTGATCCACAAATGTAGATGTAAAGGTATCTATTGTTAGTCTTCCTTGTGCTGTGGGACAAATGTTTACAACGTAAGTCAACATTCTTTGATCCTTTTTTCAGCTCCAAAACATTGGTATCAATGCTGCAAACATTGGATTCAGCACCTTGACTATGGAGTCGGACAAGTTCATCTGTGTCCGAGAAAAAGTGGGTGACACTGCACAGGTTGTCATTGTGGACATGAATGATTCCTCAAACCCAATTAGAAGGCCAATCTCTGCAGATTCTGCCATTATGAATCCAACCAGCAAAGTTATTGCACTTAAAGGTAATTGAAGTCTCTTTTAGGGTTGGGGTGTTATTTTGTCTGAAGCTTATTAGTTTTATGCTAACAAATTAAGAATTTTTGTGTAAGAATATATCAAAATTGACTGACACAGACTTTAAATGTCTTAAAATTTCAGTTTACATTGGGATTAAGTACTGTTTATTTGGTACCTTTTAAAATAGTAATAAACCCTTCAAAGCTGCCTTCATTTTGATAATAGACTAAAAGTAGTCAACTATTTATTAATCTATTATATTTTATAATATATAAAGTGTCTCTGTAAATGAAAAGAATTTTTTAAAATGTTAAATATTGATTTTTGTCATAAACACCTTAATCTAAATCCTGTAAAACCTGCATTGATTATTCTATAATTGTTCCACAGTGGCTCTTCATTATGCTGTGGTCTGTGAGCCTTTGGACTAATGATTTTCATTTAGTAGCATGTCTTAGTGAGATTATTTTCTAATGAAGTCATGAAATGAGCAGGTTGAATAATATGGTTTTACTAAATGATGTGTTTAGAGAGTATCTCATGATTTGTCTGATTCTAGATGTACAGATTCCAAATTTATACTACCAGAATTAGGTTTAACTCCTGGCAATCTGCCAAGAAGCAAATTGTGAAAATTAACTCCATAGATCTATCAGTAAAAAAAGCCAGGAACATAATAGAAGACATTTCAGAGAAAACTATTTTTTTCGGAGCTCAAAGGAAAATCATTTTGGGTTAAAATTAGAACATAAAAGAGGAATTGGTTGGTAATTTGGATACTCCTCAAAGAAATTCATTTTTGAGAGCTTAAAGAAAATGATTTTTCTAAGAGCTCAAAGAAAATCATTTCAATTTGAAATTGGGATATCTAAGAGAAACTGGTGGGTATAAGCAGGATTGCTAACTAGAGCCTTTGTGTAAATGTAACAGAACCAGCTTTTTGTTTTCATCATTTGTATCAAATACTACATAGTCTAACTTTTCAAGTGCCTGACAACTGTCTTGGTTGTTGGGTAAAAATTTTTTTCTTTATTGTTTGCATGCAGATGCTAATATTTCCTAGTTTTTTAGTTGTCACATGAAGGGTAGTTTGTGAAAGTATTTATTGAAAAAAATATATTATTAAAGTTGGTAACACTTTTTATACTATCTCTATTTAACTAGTTCTGTAGATGTTTCTTTGATTTTTGTCATATATGCACTCATTAATCAAACATTGATATTTTCATTTTTACTACCGTAGTTAAATGTGAATGTCAGTGTCTGTCAAATTTTTTCGATCATAATGCACCAGTGCTGCAGCACTTATTGATTATGCCTAACTGTATTAGAATCAGGTTGTGAAGTTCAGTGGTGAAACTGACCAATTATATGACATTGATTTTCTTACACATGTAGGTGTGTATAAACTTGGAATGGACTAATGAGTGGGATTCTTTGTTTTGTGTTTGGGTAAGGGGGGAATTAAACTTGATACAGGGTATCCCATCCCATCCCATTTTTAGATTTTATGCAAACAACAAAACTCAGTGAAATAAATGGTTTGATTTTTGAAAAGATACAAAAATCAGTGGGATTTAGCATGAATAAATTTTGATTTTTTTCTCCTTATCAATGAAGAGATTGTTTTGAATCACTTATAATGGCTGAAAACAAAATGTTCCCTAATGAAATTTGACAAGGAACAGCAAGCGATCAATGGCAGTGTGAATCAATGCAATATCAGAAAAAACATTTCATGCATGTATTTATATGTGTGGTAAGTTCTCAGTAATTTGTTAAATGCCCTTCTCTTATATCTGTAGGCTCCTCTGGCGATCCCAACCAAGGTAGCTATATTTTGCTCAAAACAACGTAGATGTAGATGTAATACATGTAGTAGTTGCAACTTCCAGTAGATGCTATATTCGTCAAGTAATGTTTAATCTGTCCATCTTTTGCCAGGGCAGTTGTGAGTGTGTTAGATGCCACATGAACTATTAATCCTGTGAAGTTATGGACACATGAAGTATTTGCATCTTGTATTGGCTTTATAAACAGTGTCTGGTAGGGCATATCTCTTACCTCATCTTACGGTTTAGGGGATCTGTCTTTCCTTACTAAGGTGGCTGCCCAAGGTTTTGTCCTTCTTATACTGAAATGCATGTAGATATTAATGATTGCAATTTTAATTTTCTTCTTTTTGTAGCTGGCAAGACATTGCAGATTTTTAACATTGAGATGAAGAGCAAGATGAAGGCCCATACTATGACAGATGATGTCACCTTTTGGAAGTGGATCAGTGTCAACACTGTGGCTTTAGTTACGGAAACTGCTGTTTATCACTGGAGTATGGAGGGTATGCCACAAAGTCATTTTAATTCAGATGTGATGGAAAATGAAAAAGAAAATACAGTGTTTTTGTTTTGGGTAATCCTTTCAAAAAGATGCACAGTTAGTATTACTTTATTTATATTCAAATCAGAATGCTGCCATAGTATCCATTCACTATGCTTGGTTTTTTAGGTGATAGTCAGCCACTGAAGGTGTTTGACAGGCATTCCAGTTTGTCCGGCTGCCAAGTTATCAACTACAGAACAGATGCCAAGCAGAAGTGGTTGCTGCTTATTGGCATTTCTGCACAGGTAAGTCTTTTAAATCATTTTGTCTTTTATGACTTCTTTCATAATTGCCAGGTTTATCTTTTTTTATCAACAAGATTTAAAAGAATGTATTTCCCATATTTGTGAATTCATCGAGTTCGGTGTAAAATTTAGTTTGCATAATAAATAAGTGTTTACTCAGATATTTTATCAGTACAGTTTTACACTGCATATCCTAACTTTAAAAATAAATCTTTATTCAGATATTTACTCAGGTGGAAAACGTGAATGTTGATATTTACCTAAGTCGGGGTGCTTTACACACCAGTAACCTTGTATTTTCAGAACAACCGTGTTGTTGGTGCTATGCAGCTGTACTCTGTGGACAGAAAAGTGAGCCAGCCTATCGAAGGTCATGCAGCCACTTTCCATGAATTCAAGATGCCAGGAAACAGCCAACCTTCAACACTGTTCTGTTTCGCTGTGAGAGGAGCCCAAGGAGGAAAGGTAGGTCACACTGTTGGGGGTTATTTTAAAAAGAATGCAACAGGTTGCAGGATATAAATATAGTAGCCAGAGATTCATACAGAAAAGGTGAAAACATTGTAGTGATGGAATTAAAGCTAAAAGATTTAGGGAAAATGGTCTGTGTAGTTTGTATATTATAATAGGGTAAATCAGGTCTGATTTGTGTAGGGTTTCTGAATAATTGATCAATATCTTACAATATTGATTATTCCCTCCATTATAGCTTCATGTAATTGAAGTGGGACAGGCCCCTCAAGGCAATACAGCATTTACCAAGAAAGCAGTTGATGTGTTCTTCCCACCAGAGGCACAAAATGATTTTCCAGTTGCCATGCAGGTAATGTTTTTACCATGTATCATAGGATGATCTTACTTTTTAGCAGCTGCTGGAATATTTGTGGCTTAAGATTTGCATTAAGTTATTGTCTTGATTGCTAGAATTTGGGCTGAAGTTTTGGTGATGTTTGAATTTTAATTTTTAGTTTTTTTTACTGAAATTGGAACGTCAAGAATAAAATTACTGGTTTTTTTTTCTACTTTTCAGATCAGTCCAAAGCATGATATAATCTTTTTGATCACCAAGTATGGATACATCCACTTGTATGATATTGAGACAGGGACTTGTATCTACATGAATAGAATCAGCGGAGACACAATTTTCGTCACAGCTCAGCATGAAGCTACATCTGGAATCATAGGTGTCAACCGAAAAGGACAGGTAAGGACATGTATAAACTTGTGTAAAATTGATTGACTTTTTAGTTAGAACACGATAGTAAACTGAGGAAGAAATTTTTTCGAGAGGTTTACTAAAAAAACAGTTGTGTCTTAGTCTTATGTACTGTGTAGCACAAAGTCTAAGTAGCCACTATAGTGATATAAGTTAGCCAAGCAAAATTGTTTTACAGGTGCTATCAGTTAGCATTGATGAGGAGAATATTATTCCATACATCAACAACACTCTACAAAACCCAGACCTGGCTTTGAGAATGGCTTCTCGTAACAACTTACCAGGAGCTGAGGACCTGTTTGTCCGCAAATTCAACAACCTGTTCCAGAGTGGCAACTATTCTGAAGCTGCAAAGGCTGCAGCTAGTGCACCCAAGGTATGAATTATGCTAGCTAACAGATATTCAGTTTAACCTGTTTGACAGGTAATATTTTTAGAGCAGGCTGTATATACCTAATGCAAGGTTCGAAATTCCTGGCACTTAGTTGAACAGATGAATGCTTTGGATTCTCTCCTTGGGAAAATTCTTCAAGAAACATCAGGAAAGGACAGTGAAACCCCCCTCCCGGCAAATTTTTTTAAACATCGGGCATTAAACTAAACACAAAATGACGAGAACTGCATTCAGAAGAAAATTGGGTGGCAAACTGTTAATTAACTGTTACTGTTTCATTTAAGCTTATCTTGCCTATATTAAATTATTAAGATTGATATTAGAATTTAAAGAGTAGTTTTTTTTAATCTGAAGATAATCTGAAAGTAAATACTTGAATAATAACTATCCATAACCAAAATTGTGATGAAAGGGTAGTTTATCCTAAATCTTCATAAAATCTTTTCAGCTTTAAAGTTAAGTTTTTCTACTATCTATTTTGTGTGTTACTATGTTTGGAATCAGTAACAAAACTGTGATATGCCTGAAAAAGTTGGGTTCTTTCTTTGGTAATGACATTCACACTGTAATTGNTTTTTTTTTTTTTTTTTTTTTTTTTGCATATTTTGAAAATTCTTGTTTATTGCATAGAGCTTGTCAAAGACAAGACTGGTTGTGTGTCCCTTTTTTTTGGGGGGGGGGGTGGTTCCATTCGAATGCGCTTACTCCAGCTGGTGGTACAATATCCGGAGGCGGTATCGCCTCTCTGATCCTCTAGTTTAACCTGTTTGATAGGTAATGTTTTTAGAGCAGGTTGTATATTCCTAATGCAAGGTTAGAAATTCCTGGCCCTTAGTTGAACAGATGCATCCTCTGGATTCTCTCCTTGGGAATATTCTTCAAGAAACATCAGAAAAAGGACAGTGAAACCCCTCTCCCAGCAAATTTTCAGGCATCGAACTAAACACACTCACAGAAGACATTCACAGAAGACAGTTGGGTAGCAAACTGTTAATCAACTGTTCATGTTTTGTTAAAGGTTATCTAAATTATTAAGATTAACATTAGAATATAAAAAGATTAATATGTATATGTTTTAAATCTGAAGATAATCTGGAAGTAAATACTTGCATGTTAACTATCCATAACCCAAATCGTGATGAAAGGGTAGTTTATCCTATATATTCATTAAAGCTTTTAAACTTGTGAATTTTTCTACCATCTATTTTGTTTTGCTACCATGTTTGGTATCGGTAGCAAAACTGCTACGCCTGAAAAAGTCAAGTTCTGGCCTTGGTAATTCACACTGTAACATTTATAAGCACATATTATGACATATATGAATTGCGTTAGGCAGCATCAGAATTTTGATGCTAGATGTTAAGGTTCATATGTCAAATGTGTAGGAATAATCTTAAATTTTAAAAAATGAACTATTACCCAAATTTTTGGAATATTGTGGCAAAATTTTTCCTTAAGATATTGAGCATGATTTTCTCATTCATCCAGGGTATTCTAAGGACTCCCCAGACCATCCAGCGTTTTCAACAATGTCCAGCACAACAAGGCCAGACATCCCCTCTCCTGCAGTACTTTGGAATACTCCTGGACCAGGGCCAGTTGAACAAGTATGAGTCCTTGGAGTTGTGCAGACCAGTGCTACAACAGGGGAGGAAGCAGCTGCTGGAGAAATGGCTAAAGGAGGATAAGGTATGGTGATATTGCTTCAGATCATTTTGAATGACATTTACAGAAAATTTGAGTCTTAACAGTTGTAGCCACAAATGATACAAAAAATGTTCTCATTTGTAAAACCCTTAAACGTGATTTTAGAATAATAAATCACATCTTCCAAGCCCCTCTCCCCTACTCAAAAAATAGGTAGATAAATTCTTCATAATAGATAGGATATCATTTCACAATCCTCAGTTTTGATTTTATCATTTCAGCTGGAATGCAGTGAGGAGTTGGGAGATCTTGTCAAAGCTCATGACCCAACTTTGGCTCTGTCAGTATTTCTTAGAGCCAATGTGCCCAATAAGGTAAGGTAAATTTGTGTATTAGAGTTGTTTATGAATGATTATAAGATGTCCTTTACTATGTACCTGCTGCATTACTATAATTACCATTGCATTTTATGTATTTGTTTGTTCAGTTGTTTGGTATCTTTTACTAATTTTACTAAAGTATAGATATCTTATCCATCATTGTCCTATTTTCTAGGTAATTCAATGTTTTGCTGAGACTGGCCAGTTCCAGAAGATCATTCTATATGCTAAGAAGGTTGGCTTCACCCCAGACTACATCTTCCTGCTGCGTAACATCATGAGGATCAACCCAGACCAGGGGTTACAGTTTGCCCAGATGATGGTGGCTGATGATGAGCCCATGGCTGATATCAACCAGGTAGGGGACTGTGAATATTTCTTTTTTTCAATTAAATTAAAGCCCTTGTTTTCTTTCTTAGACCAAAATTTGTATGTGAAACGAGGATATTCTGAAGTCTCCTGAGATTTGGATCTGTGGAAATACTATGTGCACAAATATACTTCAGCTGATGTATACATAAGGTGCATTATATTAATGTTCAAAGTTCTGGATTCTGAATGAAGAAAATATTGCTGTCATTCTCTTGAGAGTGCACTTTCATTATTGCGGAGACATGAACCTCTGTAGATATAGCCTATTCATGAGGCTCTTGAGACCAATGTGACATTAACATTATAGATGAACAAGTAACAGGAGGCCCATTTCATTTCTTTTAACCACATTCTTTCCCTAAATTGTCTCAGGTGGTTGATGTGTTTATGGAGATGAACATGATTCAGCAGTGTACTTCATTCTTGCTGGATGCCCTGAAAAACAACCGCCCCAGTGAGGGTCCACTGCAGACCAGGCTGCTGGAGATGAACCTGATGCATGCACCCCAGGTAGGAGACTTACTGGAGTAATGAATTATTTTAAAGTAAAGGTATTAAATGTAAACTATGCATGGAAGTTGTCAAAACAGACAGTTACTTAATACCTGTATGATTTGACAGTTTCCTAGAGAGACCCGTGTCCAACAGACAAATGCATGTACTCCACATTGTACATATGTTTCGTATTGAGACATACACATAGATTATACATATTTCATTTGTGTCATGGCAATTTAAAGAGGGGAACTAAAGCTGATGCATTTTTATTCCATGAGAAATGTATGCTAATCACATATTAATTTTCTTTCACCCATAGGTTGCANTCCTAGAGATACCTGTGTCCAACAGACAAATGCATGTACTCCACATTGTACATATGTTTCGTATTGAGACATACACATAGATTATACATATTTCATTTGTGTCATGGCAATTTAAAGAGGGGAACTAAAGTTGATGCATTTTTATTCCCTGAGAAATGCATGCTAATCACATATGAATTCTCTTTCATCCATAGGTTGCTGATGCCATTTTGGGCAACCAGATGTTCACCCATTATGACAGAGCCCATGTCGCCCAGCTGTGTGAGAAAGCTGGTCTCCTACAGAGAGCCTTGGAACATTACACAGACCTGTATGACATCAAGAGAGCCGTGGTTCACACTCATCTCCTGAACCCAGAGTGGCTGGTCAACTACTTTGGCTCTCTGTCTGTGGAGGACTCCCTGGAGTGTCTGAAGACTATGTTGCAGGCCAATATTCGTCAGAACCTGCAGGTGTGTGTGCAGATTGCCACCAAGTACCATGAGCAGCTAGGCACAGTGGCCCTCATTGAGATTTTTGAGTCTTTCAAGAGCTTTGAAGGTAAGCATTTGTAAAATGACCTGTTGTTTATCTACTTATGTGGTGTTTGTTTGAATGTGCAGTAAACTTTTGTAATGAAAATGGTATAGTCATTCTGTCCAAGAAAGACTGCAGTTGAAATACTAAAATGGATTCATTTTCATTATGTCTTAATTTAAGATGAGTACTTAGTTTATAAAAAAATGGTAATGATCTTTCATTTGATAGGTAAAGTTGTAGTACTATTCCCCTGCTTGTTCCAGATTTAATGTAGTTCATTATTTTGATTCCAGGATTGTTTTACTTCCTTGGCTCCATTGTGAACTTCAGCCAGGATGCTGATGTGCACTTCAAGTACATTCAGGCAGCCTGCAAGACTGGACAGATGAAAGAAGTGGAGAGGATCTGCAGAGAAAGTAACTGCTACGATCCAGAGAGGGTGAAGAACTTCCTCAAGGTAAAGCTGGAAAATTGAGAGTATATCTGAAGTATTATAAATATCATAGATATCACACAAATTTAGATGCATTTTATATGTAGGGTTGTAAACTGCAGAAAAAATTAGTTTTCCTGAAATGTTTTACTACTGTTTTCAGGAAGCCAAGCTCACTGACCAGCTTCCACTGATCATTGTATGTGATCGCTTTGACTTTGTCCATGACTTAGTTCTCTACCTGTACCGCAACAGCCTGCAGAAGTATATTGAAATCTATGTACAAAAGGTAAGGAAGCATTTTTTCAGTTGTGTTCTTTTTAGGAATTAACTGGCAGTATCCTTCTTTTTTATGGATATCTCCGTTTGTTTTTGATAAAAAAAATAATTGACAACTGAACCATAATTTTTTTAACTTTGTTATCATAGGTGAACCCATCACGTCTCCCAGTTGTTGTTGGAGGTCTGTTGGATGTGGACTGTGCAGAGGATGTCATCAAGCAGTTGATCATGGTTGTTAAAGGGCAGTTTTCAACTGATGAATTGGTGGAAGAAGTGGAGAAGAGAAACAGGTATGTAATTTGTATATGTTATGTAATGTAAATATGTGAATTGGTGTTTGCTTTATTTCAGTCAAGTAATCCATAGCCTGGCTAATGCTTCATATTACTGTCAATTATAGGCATGATTTTCTATCATTATCATTGCTTTGATTCTTTATTTCAGACTGAAGCTTCTCCTTCCCTGGTTAGAAAGTAGAGTGCATGAAGGTGTGGTTGAAGCCCCAACTCATAATGCCCTGGCCAAGATTTACATTGACAGCAACAATAACCCAGAAAGATTTCTCAGAGAAAATCAGCACTATGACAGCCGTGTTGTTGGCAAGTACTGTGAGAAGAGAGATCCTCATCTTGCTTGTGTGGCTTATGAAAGAGGACAGTGTGACATGGAGTTGATCAAAGTAAGTTTTTCATCCAATTTGTAATATTCATTAACTGAGCACCTGATCATCAGTGTAAAATTAGTAAATTTAGTGTGTAAGATGTGTAATAAAGTAGAGGAGGTTGAGATTGTAATGAATATAATAAAATACTATTCATACTATAAAATCAATGTGTTTTGCTTACCTTGTCTAGGTGTGCAATGAGAACTCGCTATTCAAGAGTGAGTCTCGCTATCTGGTGAGCAGAAGAGATCCTGAACTCTGGGCCCATGTTTTGAATGAGGAAAATGAATACAGAAGGCAACTTATTGATCAGGTGAGAGATAGGGGATTGGAGCACTATGTCTTTGATGTATCAAAAATATTTTGCTGAAAACTTAATTTGTATAATCAGCAACACTGATTGTCTTTGATCTTTTCTTGCTAGTTGAACTGTAAAATGAAGTAACCACTTTCATATAAATGTTCGTCCAAGAATCACCGGCTGCTGATTTCATGTGGTTATTAGGTGTGATATGTATATTAGAAATTTTGGGCATGTTATTATATTGTTAATTATTATTCTTGCAGGTTGTCCAAACTGCACTGTCTGAGACCCAGGATCCTGAGGACATCTCTGAGACTGTCAAGGCGTTCATGACCGCTGACTTGCCCAATGAGCTAATAGAATTGTTGGAAAAGATTGTACTGGATAATTCTGTCTTCAGTGATCACAGGTCAGTTACCTGAGCAGTTTATGGAATGCAACTTGATATATAAACATAAAATATTATTTCGTTAATTCATACTGTGAACAACAAAGGGGGTCTGCTTTACAACTTCTGATAGCTCACTGGTAATACAATAGTATGTCTAACAACAGTATTTTTTATTGTTACAACAGAGTACATTTTAAGTTATGTTCATAGGATATATTCTGTTTTCCAGGAATCTCCAGAACCTGTTGATTTTGACTGCAATCAAAGCTGACCGCACCAGAGTAATGGAGTACATCAATCGTCTGGACAACTATGATGCCCCTGACATAGCCAACATTGCCATTGGCAGTGAACTGTATGAGGAAGCTTTTGCCATTTTCAAGAAGTTTGAAGTCAATACTTCTGCTATACAGGTAACTTGAAGTTATCAGCAATGACTATTACCACCTGAAAGTGATTTTTTGTATTCTAAAATAGTAATGAATTTTTAGTTTCCCATTCCTGAACTCAATAACACACTTTCTCTCTCCAGGTTTTTTCCTAAATCCATTAGTAGAAATTTCTTTTCATTATTTAGGTGTTGATAGAGCACGTTAAGAACTTGGACCGTGCCTATGAATTTGCTGAGCGTTGCAATGACCCAGCAGTGTGGAGCCAGCTGGCCAGAGCACAGTTGAATGCTGGACTGGTCAAGGAGGCTATTGACTCTTACATCAAGGCTGATGACCCATCTCAATATATGGAAGTGGTAGATGTGGCCAGCAGAAATGGTAAGATCAGTTGATTTCTCTACAGCAAGTAAAACGCATTTGGCTAATAGGAAGATGTCAGAAAAACTATTATATGATTAATTGTATTATTTGTCTGATCTTTGGAATTCCTGAATGCTTGAACTTTTTATTATGAAATGTTTTTCTTTCTACCTTTAAGATAACTGGGAGGACTTGGTGAAATTCCTTCAAATGGCTCGTAAGAAGGCCAGAGAGACCTTTATTGAAACTGAACTCATCTTTGCCTATGCCAAGACCAATAGATTGGCTGACCTGGAGGAATTCATCTCAGGTCCTAACCATGCCAACATTACACAGGTAAGAGTTGGAATTGAATTTTTCATTTTGAGGGCAAATATATTGGAGTATAAAATAGATAAGGCTAACTCTCTTGTGGTATTTTACCAATTTTCAGTATTGTGCAAGACATCAGTCGACAAAAACTTGAAATTCAAAAATGTTTCACCCATCCAGGTTGCTGACCGCTGTTTTGACAACCAAATGTATGAGCCTGCCAAGCTTCTGTACAATAATGTTTCCAACTTTGCCCGCTTGGCTATCACTCTGGTGCATTTGGGAGAATACCAAGGAGCCGTTGACAGTGCACGCAAAGCCAACAGCACAAGGACATGGAAAGAGGTAGGAAATAATTTATTTCCTTAAGTTTAAAAGGTTGAGTTCGTGTATATATTCAATAATGTGTCTAGAAATTTACTCACTGGCTATGATTGTATCAGTTTGTACAATACAAGCTAAAGTCTTAACCAGAGATGTTATGTTGCAGATTTAATATATTCAGAGTACTTTCCATGTTTTTATTTTTGAGAAAATCTGTTGAGGTACACTTTTTTACCCCCTTGTCTTTCGGTTGTTTTTCTCACTGTATTAGCGCTCTTCTTCATCTTCCATTTTTGTGCAGGTATGCTTTGCCTGTGTTGACAATGAAGAATTCCGCTTGGCCCAGATGTGTGGTCTGCATATTGTAGTCCATGCTGATGAACTGGAGGAGCTTATCAATTATTACCAAGACAGAGGATACTTTGAAGAGCTTATATTACTCCTAGAAGCTGCTTTAGGTAATAGAAGAAAATTAAAGCTAACTCTGCCAATATTACTCCTAGCAACTGCATAACTGCATAAAGATTTTGTTAAGTTTTATAAAATTAGATTGTTTCTTTGCCTAATATTTAAAAGTCAGTCCCTCAGGCTAGCCAGTCAAAGCAAATTTATCTTTCTGCATGAAAAGATTTCTTTCAATTCATCCCAATTCTCATGGTGTAGGTTTGTTTTAAAAGTGCTGTTATCAGTAATTTGTCGCACTACGTGAAGAGATGTTTTTGCTTAGTCTCAGTGGGATTGTTTTAATATACGAGACTTGCAATTGGTTAACTTTTCAATTTTTCAGGCCTTGAAAGAGCTCACATGGGCATGTTCACAGAATTAGCAATTTTGTATTCTAAATACAAGCCAGAGAAGATGAAAGAGCACTTGGACCTTTTCTGGTCGAGGGTTAACATTCCAAAGGTCAGTACACATTGATATACAATTTTGTTTTCTTGTACATCATATTATTCATGATATTCAAACTTTTGTTTATTTCATATTGATACCTTAAGTACAATTGGCCATGCACTTCATAATGCATTTTCAAAATTTAGATGTGATTATTGTTGTTATTTCTCTTATCCTAAACAAAACAAAATGTATTTATCTAGGTTCTGAGAGCAGCAGAGCAAGCTCATTTGTGGCCTGAGCTGGTTTTCCTCTATGACAAATATGAAGAGTATGACAATGCCATTATCACCATGATGAACCACCCAACGGAAGCATGGAAAGAGAACCATATGAAGGACGTCATCACTAAAGTGGCCAATATTGAATTGTACTACAAGGCCATTCAGTTCTATTTGGATTTCAAGCCCCTCCTACTTAATGACTTGCTTCTTATACTAACCCCAAGGCTAGATCACACGCGAGCTGTCAACTTCTTCCAGAAGGTGAACCAGATACCTTTAGTCAAGCCATACCTGCGTGCCGTGCAGAGTCATAATAACAAAGCCATTAATGAGGCCCTTCATAATTTGTTAATAGAAGAAGAAGACTATCAAGGACTAAGGGCATCCATTGATGCTTTTGATAATTTTGATAACATCGCTCTGGCGCAGAAATTGGAAAAGCATGAGTTGATAGAGTTTAGACGTATTGCTGCCTACCTCTACAAAGGCAACAACCGCTGGAAACAGTCAGTTGACTTGTGCAAGAAAGATAGGCTCTTCAAGGTAAAATTCGGATTAAAAAAAATGCTGCAAATCATCCTAAGTATTTTGTACATAGAATCATTGGCTGTCATAACGTGCAAAGAGAGTTTGAAGAAAACCTGATGTTTCTTTCCTTGTTTAAATGTGTTGCTATTGCTTGCTAACTGACTTCCTATTTGAGAACTCACTTTTACATATCATTTCCACCTAAGTGTTATTTCATGTTTTAATATTACTTACAATATTTATTTTTTTATTTTCACAGGATGCAATGACCTATGCTAGTGAATCAAGAAACATTGATACAGCAGAAGAATTAATAGCCTGGTTCTTAGAGGACAAGAACTATGAATGCTTTGCAGCCTGCTTGTTCCAGTGCTATGACCTGTTACGCCCAGATGTCATATTGGAGTTGGCCTGGAAACATAACATCTTAGACTTTGCAATGCCTTATATGATCCAGGTTATGAGAGAGTATATAACAAAGGTATGGTGGCAAAAGTGCATGACCTGTAACATATACTTTTAAAAGTATTAACCAAGCCACTGTTAATTTTTTTCACCAGGGACTCTTCTAGTTGTTGGCCTTATTACAATCTTTAACAATTATGAGTATTGAAAATGGTGTCTGATGTATATTTTCAGTAGGGACAAGTCATTTTGTATGGGGGAATATTTTTTTAAATCACAGTAACTCATTGATTGAAGTATTGTTTAAATTTTTTAGGTTGACAAACTAGAACAAGCAGAGTCAGTGAGGAGTGAAGAAGAGGAGAAGATCACAGAACAGCCACTTGTCATGGGTAACTTGTTTTACTAGAATACTGTCCAAGTACAAATATCTGTTTTGATGCTGTGTAGTTTGCATTGAAAAGTTGGAAGATTTATGATAGCTACTGAAATGCAGAAAAAATACTATCATCAATAATACAACTAATGATTTTGTATTTCAAAATGAATATTTAGAATATGTACAAGGTGGATTTGGTTAAAAGCCCAATCTGAAGCCAGAGAGTGGTGCAAATTGTTTGGATACAAGTGTCACATTTGTATTATCTTCACCTTGCAGGCGATCAGTTGATGATTACTGCTGGTCCAGCTATGAACATGGGAATGCCACCACAGGGTATGCCATATGGGTACCCAGGCATGCCACAGGGGATGCCAGGTTACCAAATGTAAAGGGAAGTTGGGCTTGAATGGAGCACAAACTGATCAACAGGGGCCAAGCAGTGGGTGTAAAAGAGATGAGGAGGACGTGAATTGCAGCTTCTGGGGTTGTGATGCCATTAAATCATTGACTTCAGAATGCTTGTGATATATCAAAATTCTATGAATGTGGCTTGTTGATATAGTTCTGGAAAAGAAGAAGCGGTGACAATGAAATTACTTTTTAAAAATTTGGTGCTTCTTCAGCGACAAAAGCCGCCTTACTACCATAGTTAAATTCCTGTATTTTTAATGTTCCTGGATCTGGGATCAGTCTTCTTGCTTGGATTGTGACGATTATATCATCATTACGAATTATTGTAAGAAGAGAGATATAAAAACAAATAAAACATGGTTTATAAGTATGTAAGTCATACATTGAACAATGGACATTAGATATGTATCTATTAGGGAAAGCAGATAACATTGTAATAACAGATGTGATGTATCATTTAGTTGAATTTAGAGCTTTGAACTTTAACGTCTTATGAAGGAAATCTTGATTAGAGACTATAAAAATGTGATACTGCATTGAAGTTGTAGAAAATTTATGCTTGTAATGTTAGAATATATGTTTGTACATTGAAAGTAATGCCAATGATAACAGAGAAAGGGTCGTGTTTGGACAGTAAACTGAAAGACACTGTGAAATAATGCCAATAATAATAATAAGAGGTTTTGTGTGTAGGAGATCAAGGAAAATTGCAGTTTTGATTTGGTGTCTGTCTGTCTGTCTTGTTCTGATTGGGCTATTGTGTGCACTTTAGAAAGCTGTTAGGCAAGGGGCAAATGGGTTAATGGAAGAGCTCCAGGTGAAATGCCAATAACTTGACAATTAGCATTTTACTGCTACTTGCATTTAAACCTCTTGGTAACCAGACTATATGTGAGTAATAAAATCTGTAGTGAACCAGAGGTAGCACTAGCAATTGTCTTGCACTGTGTAATTTATTGAGCTGTACATTCTACTTCCCTTGTTATTGGTGTGCAGAAAATCAAAGCAAGACTTTCTTCATCTGTACAAGTTGATATTAGAGGAAATAAAACAACACTGTACTCAGGTATTGGTTATGATTGTTTTTGGGTGACGAGTGGAGCCAATTGAAACGCCTCTGCTATTAGCATGTTGCCGTTTCCAGTAACTTAATGATCTCGTATCATTTGTTCAGAAGATGCTGAAAGGTACAAAGGCATCCTGATTGTATAGTTTTTCTCCAATCCCGCTCTCGCTCCCACTCGCACTTGGCCCCAAAAATGCAAAATTGGATTTTGAACATGAGAAAGACCCCGATTCTTAATTGAACTTTTTACTTGGCCCCTCAAAACCTGAATATCACTTGAACTATTGCATTTCCGTATGTAATGCTTTCAACATACCTAAACAAGACTTCGCAGCCTGGGCTCCGTAACTCGAAAGCATCGCGAATTGCGATCGAGCGCAAGCGTCTCTAATACTCTCTATTCCATAACTCGGCATTTACTCGCCCCATATAATAGCCTCGAAATGAAAGGTGATATCGCAATTCGCGATGCTTTCGAATTAACGGAGCCCAGTGAAAAACGCGCTCGCAGTCTCCCATGAGATACCTGCGAGCGTGAAGTGCGAGGGGATGTCACGTACAGCACAACTTGCTGACGATTGTTGTAATTGATTATGTCACGACTTATAAAAACTTTCGTTCGTGCGTGACGTTTACTAGAAATGCCACGACTGTCTTTTGTCTCCACGTTCACTAAGAAAAAAAATTTTAAAAATGTTGGAAATTCTGCAGAAATGTTTAATTTCCGACATAGTCATGTTTTTTTATCTTTCTTGAAAGGCAGAGTGCATGTAAGATCAAAGGGCATTTGTTTTGCAGTATATCTAGGATTTATATCCATCAAAGCAATGTATATTTGAAAAGAAAGAAGACAAAAAAAAAAAAAAATCTGAGTATATCGTGGAACTTTGGATCGAGTCATGGCATCATATGAAAAGCGTTTCTTGTAAGTTGTATGTACCGGTAGGCCCTGCAGCCAAATGAATCAATAAAATGCAGTTTGAAGTAAGTCAGCCGGCTCTCGTCTGCTTTAGTTGCCAGAGAGCTTGCAGGCAAGCTTATGTAATTTGCGCATGGTGTAGTATTTTTTTTCTCAATTTTTATGACGGACCATGTTTGTGCCAAGTTCCACAAGTCGCACGTGCTTAGATCTGAGTCAGCGTGTTCCATATTTCGCATGAGACGGAGGAAGACAAAACATGAAAGAGAGATTATGATTACTGGACCAACAGACCTTCAAACCGGTGAGTCTAAAGCGTTTAATAAGTTTGGAACAATACCTTTAACTTAAATAGCTCATCAGACTCAGAGCGAAGAGAAAATTCCAGTTATGCCTAATATAACTGATCACTCAGGGCGATCGGTGATAATTGTGAAGATGTCAATAGTATTTTTCGTGCCAAATTTATTATTTCAAATGAAAAAATGCATTGAGTATTAATTGGTTTGGTAAGTGAGAGAAATTTATAACTGTCCTCAGGAAAAACTGAATTCTATGGACTTGACATTTCCTCCCTTGAAAAAAAGAGAAATAAGAAAGAAAGACAAGAAAAAAGAAAGAAAAGAAAAGAAATTACGACCGACCCTACCGTTTATATAGGTACGTACTATACTTGTTAAAATCATGTTTGAAAAACAAAAATAAATTTTGCCTGCCTACACCCTGTTTAGAGAGTCGCCGCTCGTAAGCCAACTTATCAATATTGTGCGGCCTTTTGGAATAAAAGTTAGGACTTTAAAACCTTATTTTTTCTGGATTTTTGGATGAAAAATTAAAGTTCTTCGCAACAGCGAGATGGCCCTTTTGCTGCTGCAATTGTGCACCGTCCTGAAGCGCCATCTCTTGGACAGGAAGTCACATCTGCCGGGAAGTTCGTCTGGCGTCAGTGAAAGGTAAACGCTGCGAAATAATTGGGGGGCATTTTTCGCACAACTTTTGTTTATGGTTTTCAAAAAAGGAAAACATAGTTGTTAACTAAAGAAAATGTAATGAATGGACTTTATGGTGCATAGGTCTGCCTCGTTAGTGTACCTCAGTTTTCGGCCTGACAAGTTCCAGTTACGTTCATGGTACATGTACCCCTGTAGATCTAGGCCGGGCTACTTTATCTTGCGGTAATAAACAGCCTGGCGTGTAAAGCCGAAAACTGAGGCAATTACTAAAGCAGGTTTATATTTTCACCCTGCTTGCCTCAGACTTAGACAAAAGAGTAGTAACGACGGGATTCCAGCGAGGAGTTGGCTGATTTTTCATATGAATATTCCACTGAACTATTTTAATATTCCCATTAGTTTATTTATTGATTTATTCTTTCATTTCATTAGTACCCTTATTCTGGTACAGATGAGTGATTTGGCAAGCAAAAATTGAGATGTCTAATAAATTGGCAGTTGATAAATAATGTTACTTGAAAGTGCACTTTTTTATAAATAGAAAAACAGCAGTGGAGTACATGCATTCTGGAACCTACTGCACATGAGTCATATGGGTACAGCATGTCTCAGTTTTGCAACAACCCTTCCCATTACTTTGATCTATTTCCAATGCCTGTGAACTCCATTTTGAATAGTAGGTCTATTCCAAATAAAAGCAGAGAGGGTCAAGTTTACTTTTCACATTTTGGATCCTGAGGGTTAATATTTCATAAAGTGATATTAGACACCACGCCAGAAACCAGACCGTGTCTGCCACAGGCCAATTCAGATGAATACAGGCTATTGCATAACTCTCCCATGCAGTCACTTGCAACAGTGCTGCTTTACTTTTCTCACCAACACATTATTTAATACTAACTCATTCGCGGTCTTTTCATCTTTAAATTTAATGTAGTGCTATGACACAAGAACTATGTTCCCCATTGAGAGTTATTTGTGGTAGGGTGAAAGGCATATGTTATAAAGTCACATCTGTTATTATTATATTGACATTCATTTATCATACTATCAAAGACAACATTCATTCATCATTCTATCAAAGACTAGATTGGACTCTGGAGTTTGGAATTACATGCTTATAGGTAGATTATATTTAAAACACCAGGTGGGCAAACATTTGATGATTTGCCACTCGTTACAGGACTTTGGACACACGCAAACTCTTAATTTCTTAGTGTGTTTTAAAGAATATTAATATTGTATATCAGTATTTGCCATAGCTGGTCTGTAAAAGCAACACAAGCATATTGGTAAGTAATGTTGTCTCTGATTGATTTATCAAATAAGAATTAAAATATGTGTTTAAGAATTGTGTGAGATGCCATTTTTGATAGCTTTTAATACCATATACATACAAATTTATTTTGGTCTTAATATATAAAGTGTTTGATCTCCATTGTTACTTAAATGCTAGATATTGTTAAAAGCATTATATTTTAAGCCAATCATAAAATTTTTATGGCTGCATGTTGACTAGCTATAACACATTAAATGTTGCATATTTATTGCTATATCCCCATTTAATGTTGATTCCTTATCACACATATGCCATACTCTAGCATGCTAAAGTGATATAACTGAAACCCCACCATCCTATAGAGGTTATTTGAAGTTTGCTGATAACAACTTTGCTTGCTAAAGGCTCAAAATCCACTAGTATTGAGATGTAGACTTGACAACTCAGATATTTAGGAGGAAATTGATTTGGTAACTGCTACTGCATTGTTTTATCAGAAAAACAAATTGCATGCTTAAATTCTAGCAGTGAAATTCAGTGGAAACCTCAACTCTTTCAGATTGCTGGTGCCACATGCCTTAATGCTTGGTCATCTGTGTTTAAAAAATGATGTAAACCTTGAAATTAATTATTTTAAAAAATGAAATATGACACCTGATTGAAGTTGAATTTCCATATCTAAATGACTGGACTGACAAGGTAAGAGAAATCTAAACAAACCTGGAGGCTGCCAGTTCTTGGATGAACTGGTAGTAACATATATTCTCTCTCTGGAAGAATATTTGTCCCCATTTATATAAATAATATTAATACCATATATTTCAAAGTCTGCTTGAGATTAAAAGAACCATTTAATATTCATTTTATTTGCTTTTTTATGATATAAACTAAAATGAAAAATGATCCTCTCATTATCAGTAGTTTTATAGAATAAGCTGACTATCACTCTTTGAAAATATAAACCCCCAAATATCCTACACATTTATTTTTCAGCCAACTACTTCATCTTCACTGTCATTTGAACAGTTATATGCATTCTTAGCATTTTCTATTGCACAAAGGGCAATTCCAGAGCAGAGATAGAAAAATTTATATTATTTTGACTCTAAAGTTCTGGCTATTTTAAAAGAAAATGAAGAATTTAAAACAATGGAAAGTGAATGGATTGTCCTTCAGAGAAAAATTAAACACTTTGTAATCTATTACTGAAAAGTAAACACACCCTTGAAAAATAATAATCTTAATAATACAGATAAAATGAATTGTTATTGTAACTGCACAAATTGCCTTATTGTATAGAATATTGATATTCTTTTAAAGTTTTAGCTTAGAAACAGGTGTGATACACATTAACTAAATTTAAATGACAGTATTGGTAATGCATTTTCTTGTAATGTGGACTTACTTGATTTGAACATAAAGGATTTTTTGCCAAAGTAAATCACTTATATAGATTCCTCATATCTCTTCCAACCTTTTTCTTATTTACTTTGATCTGATTCAAATTAAAATAGATACATTTTTAAGCAGGCAGTGCAACTTAATGGGAAGATCCATTAGTGATAAAGTTTTTGTCTTGCTGTCAATTCTTTTAATCTCTTATTCATTCATCTTTATGTTGGTTATCTTCAGCTGTATCTTTATGTTTTAAAAAATTCTAGATTAATAAATAACTTTTTATTGATATTTGATTTTTATTAATTGGAAGTATGTAAGTACATTATATCTGACAATTTGTGTTTGCTTAGCCTTAGCATTATCTATATACCCATGTGTAGGAAAGTAAACCAGGATTATTTAATAAAGTAATCACAGGTATTATCAGCGGGTGTGAGTCATTTGTCAACTGTTGGCTTCTAATCTGCTCCTTAAACCTTAGACCACTGAACTGTTATAATTACACTGTTTTCTAAGTATGTACATGTATTGATTATTTTGAAATGGGGCTCTATGATGTTTGCTTGGATATTAGATATTGTCTGAGCTTAAATGGATACTAAGATATTTAATATGCCAGTTTATTTTTTATATTGAGTAGTTAAAATGGATGTCATGTTTGAAATCATCAAAAAGTTATTTCTTATACACTCTGGGTTGTCTGGCATTTTAAGGTCACACAAAAAATCTTGAATTTAAGTAGGTGCTGTAATTAAATGTCAAAAAGAAAGGATGAGGTCACCAGCATGTAAGTTTAACAAAGATTTCAGACATGTTAACATGCATACTTACATGAGTAAGGGCTACCAAACTACCAATATAGATAAGCATGCAGTCTAGTGTTTTTTAAGATAAAAACGATCTCTAGAGCCACTGAGAAATCTCTGTGGACACTTCTCTATACAACACTGCCTATGAACTCTCATCTTCTTAATAAAGGAGGTGTGACTACCCTTTTGCTCCTTGGACAAGAGAATTAGTGTTAGATAAATTTGTTTTTGCCATTAAAAGGTCAATACCATTCTGGTTTTAGTTTTAGTTTGATTTCACTTTTAGTGACCCATCTAGACTCCACGCTTCTTTAGGAAATTTTGTCTAAAGCAATGGGCCCCTTGGGTGCATAACTACATTTGGAATACATGTATCGGACTTTGAACAAAGTGGCATGTGATAGTGTAAAGAAAAGTTGTAGACAGGAGATATTATGGTCCCCTTGAGGAGAGGTGACATTTGTGACACATTCACACATTGATAGGCAAGATGAATGAATCTCATGGTGATGTTTACTTTGAAATAGAAAGATCAAACATGACCTGAAAATGCAGACTTGATACCCTCATATAATTGTTTATCTTATGATTTGAAGCATTTGGATTTGTCCTAAAATTAAAACTATATCATCTGCTGATAAGTCTTTAAGTTTGTATAAAACATTGGTCTCTGGCTTGATTAGTGCTAATTTTTTTAAATCTTTGGTTTCATTGAAATAAAAAATCTCTTTCCTCTCTCTCTCTCTCTCTCTCTCTCTCTCTCTCTCATTCTACAAGTAGATGTATTTCATACCCTATATCTCATGCCCTTTCTCATTTTTCCCCTTCTTTCCAATTATTCTTGCACTTGACTGCATGAGAACTTTTTTGTTTTGACCACCATGAATAGATTTGAACAAAAAAGGGCACATGCTATATAGTTGCATTAGCCAGATTCAACTTTATATTATAATTGCTATAAAACACAGGTAAATACTGTAAGCCTGTGAAGTCCCGCTGGACAAACAATCCACTTTGTAAATGGTTTAAAAGGCTACCAGATTCCATGAATAGAACACAGAGAGTTAGTTTTTATTTAGTCGTCTGGCTTGGGTGAAAGATTGAGGCATGTTACGGTCTAATTGCGTGCAAACTTTTCGACCCGATTTAATGCCTGGTATTTCAAAGCGCCGAACAATCAGGTGATTATAGGGTGATTGACCAAGGTAAACAACGTCTCCATTGGTGTTGGCTCAGGCTGAGGTCTCTTATACATACATATATACACTAAAGCCTTGAGGTAAAGGAAAAGTGTTTTACTGTTGTATTAACATCCAGTTCTTTATCTGTGTTTCTTTGTTTGGGGATTTTCATTTCAGTTTATATACACACACCAGCGGTTCTGTGTTCATAATACTTGCGGTGAGATTGAGGACAGGTAAGATACTGGAACGGAAAGTCTAAGAGTTCAAGACACCATTGATAAACAGACGACAAATACTCATTTAAAAATTATAATATTGTTTAATTTTCCTTCCAGTATTCAACTTCAAGTTGGGACCTCTGGATTTTATGAGCAATTCTTTTGATCTTTATTGAAAGATCCAGGTATGAAATTTCATTCAGTTCTGTTTTATTTTCCATGATGTCTGTTAACAATCAACATTTGTTCAGGATATTTGAAGACATTAATGATGGGAGTTAATTGGAGAAGAACAGACCTCTTGGTGTATTAATTTGTAGAAATTTAAAAATTTCAATTTGTCAGGTAAATTTTGGCTATTATTGCTATTTTAATTAGAATCGTGGCAAAAAAGTTATTAAATTTTGGTGTATAACAAATTTAATATTCTGGTCACACTGATTATTTGTTAGTATTTTTCTCCCTTTCAACCTCCCTTGTGTGGTAGCCAATTTTAAAAACTGATCTAGGTCATCTTAGAGATGGCTGTGTGATTTTGTTATAGTATTATTTTTTGCAGCATAATTTAAACAACTGTCCTTGTTAAGATCTGGAGAATTTCAAGTATGTTTTGTAGTTCTTTAAAAATTGAAGCATGACTAGACACAAGAGATGGCTTTAAATTTTATGCTGAGTTGTTATCAAATTGCGTCTTTGTGTGGTATTATATAGTGAGGCGTTATTAGGCCCATACAAGTTTATTTTATTTCCACAACTAATGATTAATAATTTGGCTAAAGATGATAAAACATGTTTGTTTTTCCCCTTGGTTTATCATAATTTTTGGAATAAGTTATTTAATAGAACAAAAAAAAAAATGCTGGAATCACCCCTCTGTAAATGTGTAGAAAGTTGGACAATATAGAAGATGGTTTATCTGTTTCATTCAAGGCCCTTGTGCCAGACTGTGTTAGTTGATTTTTATCAGTGTAATCCTTAGCACAATTGCTGGCTGTACTGGATTGCAGTCTAACTTGATGTGCTTTTGGTAAATTTTCTCAACCGTCACAATGAGTACACTGTGAAGATGACATGCTTGGAAAGATATGTGCTGCAGAGTATGGCACCAATGTAATGCCAGTTACTGTAGTTAGTCCCCATGACTTGTCTAAGATAACTAGTGTGTTCACAGACCATAACTCAGAGGATTTTGCCACACCTAATATTTAATCAGCAGATGTCAAATTGGCTTTGCATGATACCATTTGTGCTTGTTTCAATTATCCCAATTGCTATCAGAATTAAAGGTAAATTCGCTATCAAGTTTGTCACCAAACTATAGATCTTGACCCTGTCTAGATGAGATGGCACCCTGAGCCTGCAGCAGACGGGCACCAGAAGTTTGTTTGTCTTTTCTAACAATAAGACACTTCAGTGTTGATAAGGAAGGAGATAGCCACTTGAGAGTGATGGGACTGCATTGTGCCTCCTCTTGCCCAACAGCAAGTTGACAAATTTATCAATCATTTCACTTTGGTTCAAGCAATTTGAGGAGGTTTGGAAAATATCCGGAAGGAACTTGACATTCTTCTATTAAATAATGGGTCTCAAAATTACTGACAAGTTGTTCGTTTGAACGCACTCCAATGATTCCACAATACTGTCTATAAATGTCATTAGATTTATAAATGTTTGCTTTTGCGGTAAAAATGTATCACTTAGGAAATATCACTGTATAAGGGCATTGTCAATGCCCATGCCATGCTAACAGCCCTGGTGGGCAACTCTTATCAGTTTATTTAATCAGACCTAGTATAATATATCTTCAGATTCTTTAACCACTTAACAAACAGAGAGTCCACGACACTGGTCTCCTGTCAATAAATAAAGGGGGTTTGCAAGGGTGCTGGTAGAACACAGTGGGGAACCAGGTATGAGCAGGCTAATATTCCATCTTTATTCAGTATTATATAGGATCAGGCTCATTAATCCCTCTACTGTGCACTACTGTTAAGCTCTTATACTGACCGGGTGCAGAATGACGTAACCAATAGAAATAATATAACAGGAGAGAATGGGTTCAGGTACCATTTAGGTCTTATTTATACGGAAATATTATGTGTTAGGTATATGGAATTTTCTCCTGTGGTGATACCAGCTTTTATAAAGACCTATTTCAGATTGCTTTAAATTACACAATACAGTATTTGTTTGGGATGTAAAGAAATTTACCGAGGTTTCTTCTTGAGGAATGTTGGTCACAAAGTCAAACAGTCCAGTAGAAAGCTTATGAGAAATTATGCGTTGACTAAGAAGTTTTTAATCACTTGAAAATTAATACCAGCACAAGCTTTGGAGTTGGACATCAAGTTTGGTTTGTTTTGAGTATTGTATCGAAGGTGTTAAAGTCAGGCTTGTTTTATGTTGGTATAATTAGCAGGTATACACACTGCGGCATACATGAAAGTTATCAGAAGTGTGCACATTTGCATGGTGATTTCTTCTTGAACTTTGATCTCCAAATGAGCATTGGGTTGCCACGTATGGTAGCCATTTGGCATGGATTAAATAGGCTAATGATGGGGAGAAGAAAAGATAAAACTTATTTCTCAATGAAAAGTTTTCATCAAAAGGGTAACATTTGAGGCATACATATTATGTGGAGAAAGGAAAATATTAGAGTCCTAAATAAACACAGACCTATAGAAAGTATGAAAATATTGGGATGCTAAACAAGTGCACTGCAAACCTTTCTTTATCCTGTTCTTTAGCCTTGTTGTTCAGCCAGTTGTTAGCTGGAAATTCAACTGTACTTAGTAACAGCTTCAGAAATTTTCTTTAACTGACTTCACTGACCTACAGTTTTAACAGTCGGTTAAACAGTTAGGAATGCTATTATTGTCCTTTCCTATAAAGCTGGTTTTATTCCTCGTTGGTGAAGTTATAAATATGCAAATTTACCCTGAGGCAAAGTTTTCTATGTCTGTCTGCTGAGGCCCCCTTGTGGTGTAGTGGTAAAATGGCCTGTCTTCGTAACTGGTAAACCAAAGATAACAAAAGGTAGCTTACTTTCTAACTTAACTTTCTGGCTTCCGGATCACTGAAGCATGGATTTGTCACAGCGTTTTATTCAAAATGAAAGGCAGTTGTAGTACATAATAAAATGAAGGTGTTTTTGAATTTTTGTTAATAGTGGACCAAGCTGTGCCAGTCAATGAAAGGACTACTTGTCCCTTCCTCTGTGCCTTTGATGGTGGTGTTGGTTAAATCAAGTGAAAAGTCAAACTCCCTAGGGTATAGAATAGGCTCATAATTTTCTGCGCTTTTAGTTAGACTACATTTGGAACTCCCCATCTGATTGAATGAGCCCAGTGTGTGATAATTTTTTTTTTTTGTTATTTCTTGATCCTCTTCTAGATATGTTTCAGTCATTTGTTCAGCCCATTTAAGGTGTAGAGAGCTTAGCATGTAATTTGCAGTGTTGGACTAATATTAAGTTAGGTTTTGGTAAGCATTTGATTTATCTGCTCATTGATAATGTTGTGTTGAATGGGGGAAAAACTGATGGTTGATTTATGAATCTATACCTTGGCTGACACATGCTCTGCTAACTGTCTAACCTTTTGAGTCTAATAAGGGTTAAGGTTTATAAACTTTTTGACTTTTAGACAGCTTAGTGGTAGGGTGAAAAAATACCTTCTTAAACCCAACTGCCAGAGGAGACCAACAGTGAAATAAAAGTAGGAAAAACATTTATAGAAGAAAAAAATCATAATAATAATGATGATATTAAACAGAAGTGCATGACAATTATCTTCTTCTCAACCTCTTTTTTTTTCCAGATTCTCCCCTTCGGGTCTTGAGATTGTGATATCTATCCACTGGCCATTAGCTGTCCAAACACTGAACTCACAGAAGGGCATGGTGTATGAAGCCAGCCAATCAGAAGACAGCATTGAGAGGAGTATATAAACATCCTCAGTCAGGGCTAGCTATAAGCTGGGCAGCAGAGTTAGTGGCTTACATTTATACTTAGAAGGTGAACACCTCAGGAACAGGGGCACTCTCAGTGACTGCAGGCTAGAAAGTTCAAGAAGTGAGAGGGGGTCCTAGCTTTGAGAAGGATTTTACCAAAGGAGGAAAAGAAAGTGGGACTTTGTCAGCCTGTAGCAAAAGAAAGAGAGGTGCATTCCCTCTAGACTGCTTAATTGCTATTTTAGTAGCTAAACTTCATTAGCCCCAGTGCAAGTGGTGCTTTTATTTCAAGAAACTTGAACTAGTTCCGTTTTACAGTTGGACTGCTAGTAACATTGCGTGATTTTATTGTTTACAAATAACATTTTAGTTTTTACACCATGGCTTTGTCAAACAAAATAGGCATTATTTCTTCATCCTGTGCATTATTTGCATTGATTTTGATGATGGAGACTGGACTGGTTCATAGTGGCTGCTTGGAGGCAAAACTCTGCTGCTCTGGTCGCAATGACACTTGCCGTGTGAAAGGGGACAGAGATTCCAAACTGATGAATGCCCTGAGCCCCTACTGGACCACAGTATTGCTACTGTGATGAAGGGTGCCATGCCACAAAAGACTGCTGCAGAGATAGGGAAGAATCTTGTGGAGGAGGTAGGTTTTATTTTTAACTCACCAGTTTGATTTGATATCATGTTCTGTATGATGAAAATTTTATTTTAAAGTAAGCAATTTTTTTTTCAAAGAAATTTAGAAATGGTTCTGTGAAACTTAGTTGATTTTCTTTTGGGAATGTATTACTAAAATTGAACAGACTGGCTGGGAATGTGGTTTTTATTTACATAACAGTTTAGTCCAGCTTATTATTTCCCCTTTGTGTCTGGTTTGCAATAATTACTCTAATCATAGCAGACAATTCAAGTTTTGACATTCACACCACTGGTTAAGATCCCAACTTCCTGTAGATATAATTTCCAGTGCAAAATGTGTTCACCATCCTGAAGCTGACCTTGTATGGAACAGATCCCCTTTTGTTCTGTTTGTGAAACGCCACTTCAGACATTGTCTGGAGATTGTGAAAAGAGAAAAAAATTATGTGCAGGGATCAGAACATTAAAGAAAAGAAAAAATCAATAGTATTTGTAAGGCAAGATAGGATTATCCTGCTGTATATATGACACGATCTAGGCTCCCTTGTGGGGGTTCATTCTTTCATGAGGAGAAAAAAAACTTGGGGAAGCAGATAAAGATTATAGTATCTCGTCTTGGTTATCTGCCTGGAAGAGAAAGGTGCCTAATTTAGATATGTACTTATTTTCATAATTTGTATTAAAACGAGAGAGAGAGAGAGAGAAAGAGAGAGAGAGAGCACATTTTTAATCCAAATTATGGTTTATGGTGGCAGCGTATGGAAATGTTTAACCAGTTGTTGGGGTACAGATGGCTCTGGTTTTAGTAAGTAGTGTTCACAGTTTCTAAACAGCACTTAAAGAGGAGAGGCAACAGAGGTAAACATTTGCCTGGGGAAGCAACTGAGTTAAATGTCATATACGGGGAGGTATGCCTTGCTTCTAAGCAGAATGAGTAACAAGTAGTTCTGTACTTCACAGACCATTTGCTAATTGATTTCCCTGGTTTAAACCATAGCTCACCCTATGATCAAGAGCAGTTAACCTGCTGTCAACAAGTCATCTTAATCAAACAGCATACCACACATAAGCAAAACACAATGAGTGGCCGTAAACTTTGGGGATGAATGAAAAAACATGTTAAGCAACCTCATGAGTTGAGCACCTGACTTGATGTGGTGTAATGTTTCGTTGAAACGTTATTTAATTCTCATCAATGAGGCAGTTGTAAAGTCTGTGATAAAAGGAAATGGCTTCAGCCTTACATTCAGACATTTAATGCCCATAAATTATTCCAATTGCACTGAAGTTTATAGAGGTAAAGGGACCTTTTTATTAATGTGCTGTTAAATGTCCATTAACAGTTAAGAAAATAAGAAAGATCTGTACATTGTCATTAAAGAATATGAAAAAATGTAACAAGTCATGTACTGAGTATCATTTTGAAGGCAAATACATAGTGATCAAAAGAAAAACCTGAAGTGTCATAAAACATTAACAGTTATTTTCCGTTCAAGCGTAAAGTAAAAATAATGTCATATCTCACAGTTATGTCACTAATGCCACCACACAGGCAAGACATGAATGTGCATGATAGAAATGAAAACTGCACCAAAGTCCTCATCACTAGTGGAACAGTTCACTTGTGGAAGGTCACTAAGGTGATAGATAACAAATTGGTTCATTGAACAGGTACAGGCAACAGGAGCTCAGCAGCGCTTGAAGAAGCCTATCATATTAGCCATGGCCTTCCGTTTTCATAGGGAATAAAGCCTTGATTGTAGGGTGGCACTTCAACTCTTTGATCCTCTTTTAGTCCAGAGTATCGAAGGTGCTGAAAGCTTGCACATGTGTGCTGTGACCATTACAATGTGTGTTTACACATGCTTTATCTGCACAACAATAGGGGGATCACTCTCATTTAATTTTTTGTACAGGTGCAAAAGCCATGGTATGGGTCCTGTTAGATCCCATGTTTGCTCTTACAACATCTTCCGGGGCACATACTGTGCATTTTTGTGTAAATTTTGTCAAATATTTAATCCCAAACCTCAGTGCATTGTGCTTGGACAATGCATTACAGAAATTGCAACTTTCCAAAAACAAACAACAAACATACTGTGTTTACTTTGTATACTTGATACCTCTCTCCTCAATCACTGAAACATGGAGAGCCTAATAAGTTGGGTGGGGGAGAAGTGAGGATAATGTCTACAGGCTTCCTATTAGAGTATTAGGCAATTTTTTTGTCTGCCTGGAAGCTGGAAGCAAACCCCATCAGACAAGTGTCTGTGAAGGAAATCTATTCCATGTGCTTTGTCAGTTCAAGGCCCTGATCTTATCACCCCAGTTGCTCTAACAGGCCAATGAATGCCATGTTCTCAGTAGGCCAGCCACTGGTCCATTTGAAAAATTAAAGTTCAGTATGTTTTCGCTTTTAAAATGATGTATATCAATGAAAGAAATAACATTTTTCTTGTGAAAAAATTATTCATGAGCTGTTTTTGAATGTTAAATAGCAGCTGGTAATATTTTTTATTGCAAAATCTAAAAAAATTATGGGAAGGATTTCCACATATTTATTCTTTAAAAAAAAGATACAAGAAAGAAAGTACTATTGTGAAGAAAGGAAAATGCATTTCTGTGGTTGAGGAATTCACTGGGGTTTTGAAAATGGAAATTAAGTGTTATAATGGTAGAATATTGCAGAATTATGCAAATAGAAAAGGTTTTTTCCTTTCTCGGTGAGAAATTTTTCATCTAGGTGACCAAATTTGTTTGCTCTTTTGAATAAGGCTCAAGTTATATTCTGAGAGTGAGGTGCCCTATTATTAGTCTCCATCAGCAACCAAAATTGTAAGGTTATTCCTGTAATTGATTATGATTAGAGCAGTGGTCATGTAGGCTATATATAAATTAACCTACATATACCCCACAGTTTGATGGACAGGTGACTGGATTTATTTACCAAGTCAGTGAAAATTGGAGATTTCTCTAGAGATTTCAGATGGCTTAGATTTTGAAATCTGATGAATTAATAAGTCCTGAAATAACTGCATAACTCTTCAGTAAATTTATTGTATAACTCTTTAACAGACAGACAACATAATTTTATGTGGTGTTGACAATGTATTTTTAAACGGTTTTAGTTAATGTTGTAGCATACATTACAAATTCAAAAATGGCAGGAAATGAGATTAGATTTTAGTCATGGGCCCACAGCCAGGGGATGTTTGGCGTGTCTGAATGAACAAATGAACTGCAATTTTTGCTAGGAAAAGGTCCACTCTGAACAAAAAAAAAAAATGATCTAGGTATACAAAGGTTTCATGGTAAAAGGTCTACTTTTTCAGAAAACGACCCCCCCCCCTTTTTTAAATAGCTGGCTATAGGCCTGAGTTGTGACACTCACTTTAATATGGAAAATGTTTCATCAAAGTTCTGCTGTTAGAGAACAGCATTAGAGTAGGCTGTGCCATATTTCTTGAATGACTAAAATAGGAAATGAATTATTTCACACAGCAAAGATAACTGTTATTTGAATTTGAAGCTGTAATTACATGTACCTACAGGTAGATTAAATCATATCACACATTAACCATGTTTTAACTGTGATAGTAGTTTTAATGAATATGAAATGTAGTATACATAGAGCTTTTTGTGTTTGAATATAACATTCACACTGTTTTAAAACATTTCCAGCTTTAAGTTCTCATGTTAACAGTGCTGTAACAGGGCTTTTCTGTTATGGGTGCATTCACATGTGATTCAAACACATAAGTAACCTGGTTATGTCTTAATAAATGGCCATTTACCAAAGGTGAATAGAAAAGCATTCATGCACTGGTTGTACCCAAGATATTTTTTGTAACCTTTTTTTGCATGCATGCAATGAAATTTTCCTCCCAACCCATTCTTGCAATTTTAAAAATCTTACGGACAAATTACCCCCTGCTTGATGCAAAGAATACACTGCCATTCAAGTATTAATACAAATTATGAGCAATAATTTCTGCTTGTGTGGTTGCTGTTTGCTACTGTTATTTGTGATAAATGTAAAGCGGCATTTGTCCTGACATAATGTCGAGTTGAGCACTTTATGTCCTGAGAGCAGAGGGCCTTCTGACTTTTTCAAGTTAAGACTGTCACCTTGCATACTTTGCATAGAGATGTCAGTTGTAAAAATGTGTTTTCATCAAGGGTCCTAGAAACCACTAAAGAGAAGGCAATTTTGTGGGAAAAAACTTTCTCAAAGTCATTTTAAAAGCATGCTGTAGAAAGGGAAAATTTAAACAAAGGTTTGAAATCCATTAGCACTTAGCAGCTGTAAAGCAACCTTTAATTTGAAAACCTGTTGAACTTAACATTTTGATGCCCCACCTCCTAAAAATGAAAAAAAGGGGAAAAAAAGATTACTTATTTTCTTGCATTTCAGTACATATATATATCCTTGCATGAGGCAAATTATACACTGAAAATGATTTTGGTTCGATTCAGTATCCATGGTGGGACAAGCAATTTAAGATTTTATAAATATATTTGTATCTTTCATGACAGTGATTTCTTTGATCTTTCAAGAAAAGAAAAGACCTGTATGACACAGGTAATAAATTTTTCTCTTATCTTATCTACAGATTTTTTTCTTGTGTGTTAAATACACATATGTCAGACAGTTATATCTCACCTCCAATCAGACAGACATTTGTCCTTGTTTCTTTTTCATAAAAAAAAGAACAGTGACACCAAACAAGGTTTTGATAAAGAAAAGAATACCACCATTCTTTTTAACATGGTCAGTTAATTTACTTGAGCATCATTAGCCAAGCAGTGAACCCAAACGACATCTCCTACTGGTGAGATCAAAAGAAGGTGGTGCAAACCCTCTTCATATCGTCCCTGACAATGAATTACAACTGCATCAAATTCTCAATGAATTTCCTAACACCATCCATCAGCCGGGGACTGCCTCCATTTGGTGATTGTAGAGGTGTCCACTCAGCCAAGGTGTTAAGAAGTTGATATATA